AAAAATCATATGAATGCCTGGAGTGTGGAAAGAGCTTCAGGCATAGGGGAAACCTTTATGCACACCAAAGGATCCACTCAGGAGAAAAACCACATAAATGCCTGGAGTGTGGAAAGAGCTTCAGTCAGAGAGGAAACCTTTATGCACACCAAGGGATCCACACAGGAGAAAAACTGCATAAATGCCTGGAGTGTGGAAAGAGCTTCAGTCAGAGGAGCAGCCTTTATGTACATCAAAGGATCCACTCAGGAGAAAAACCACATAAATGCCTGGTGTGTGGAAAGAGCTTCAGTCAGAGAAGCAACCTTTATCTACATCAAAGGATCCACTCAGGGGAAAAACTGCATAAATGTCTGGAGTGTGGAAAGAGCTTCAGTCGGAAAGGCACGCTATATAGACATCAAAAGATCCACTCAGGTGAAAAAACTGCATAAATGTCTGGAGTGTGGAAAGAGCTTCAGTCAAAGGAGAAACCTTGATGTACATCAAAGGATCCATTCAGGAGAGAAACCGTATAAATGCCTCCAGTGTGGAAAGAGCTTTACTGAAAGTGGAAGTCTTCGTAAACATCAAAGAATTCACACAAGAGAAACCCTATGAATGCCTGGACTGTGGAAAGAGCTTCAACAGGGCGGGAACTCTGTGTAATCAAAGGATCCACACAGGAGAAAAACCTTATGTCTGGAGTTTGGAAGGTGTGAACAGTTAACCTTCATTGCCATCTTCTTTGTATGTCAACATGAGTGTGTAATGTATTTTCATCCGAAACTCTCAAGAGTAAGTAAATTTACGGACAGCACCATTTTACTCTTCCCTTTATTGCTACTCTCTGTTTAATGATTCTGCTGTTCTGTGATGCCTAATAGTTTAATTTGAATAATTTTACACACTTGTCAAGGGATACATAATCTCATGAGTAGAAGTGTATTCAACTCCACAAACTCATATCACAATTTCTTCTGATTGGTGAGATTTCATTTTGAGATTCAGAAGCTGCTATTGGAATGTTCTGAAGAAACTTTCCAATTTCCATCGTGCCCACGTTTTTTTTCCATCGGACTGGAAATCAGAGCGCTCTCTCCTGGGTTAATTCTTCCCTTGAAATAAGCCTCTCGCCCCTTCTGTACCTTTTGGCCCAGTCCCTCCTTCCACACAGAGAAGAAACTGCATTCTTGGTTATTAATGAGCCAATTCTCCCTTTTCTTTCCTTTTTGCCTCCCACCTGATTCTCAGTGCTACCTTTGCTCTCTGCTGAGCAATGCAAGTTATTTGGGCCGTAACCTTTGCCTCCTGTGAAGACCTCTGTGTTGCAGGAATACAGTCCTTGCTGAGGGCCAAGAAACAGGTTTCTTGCACTTGGTTGCACTTTCTTGTAACTTTAATATTTTTACGAAACTCTTGTAATATAGAAGGTTTCTGCCTTAGCATCCAGGTGCTTGTAACTTTCTAGCTGCAAAACAAGGGACTCTCTCAGGCTGAATAACCAAGGACTTTTTCAATTGTACACGCTAGAGGTTTCAGCTGGCCGAAATTGTATCTTTTCTCAATAGATTTAAGTGGCTGAAGATGCCTTTTCCCATGGGAACGTTCTCCTTTTAATACAGTGGTTTTAAATGGTTATGTTATTATGGGATGTTTCACTTACTGTCCATGTTTCTGAATGTAACAGGATTTCTTCCAACTATTCTTTTGTACTTTTTCTACTGTGTGTGTCCTGGGGTCATCTTTTCATTAAGGGAAACCTCCTTGTAAGATTAATGTTGCCTTTAAATGATCTTCTAATTTGAACAAGAGTGCCGTGGCAGAATCTAGGTGTCTGACCTGCCCCAACTGGGTCCCTCAGGAAGGAAAGACCCTCAACTTCATCCGATTGGAGCAAAAGGTGCCTCTGCTAGAAACCAATTCTGGGCTTCATCGTGTGTCATTTCCCCCTCCCTGTTTCCCATCACGTACAAACATATTGTCCATTTGTCCACCCCCCCAAGGCCCCTCTAGATAGTAGGAACTGGCAACACGGGGGCTAATTTGGCCTTCAGTGTTGGGGATGTGACCGAGCTCCTCCCTGTCATTCTTTGATATAATCTAAATGGGTTTTCCAAAGGTCAGCGCCATCTAAGACCATCCCCAGATATCTGAAACTCTTGTAAATTGGATGTTCTCAATGGTCCCCTTGTCTTGAAAGCTTCTTAGCAAAAACAGGAGATTCTCTAACCAACAAAGCTTTGTGAGATACGATCCAGATCCTCACCATAGAGGAGCAGAAGTAGGGCCCAGGGATTGAGGCAAGTGTAAGCAGGAGAGGGTCAGATGAACTGTCAAGGAGTGGAGGCGCTACTTAAAGAGGGTGGAGGTCTAAATACAGCCCTGGGGGACTTTTCTGAAGCACATTTCATACAAATGCTGAATGAGAAAAAACATCCTTTTCTACTGTATTCTGCACGTTCATCAAGATTTCTCTCAAATGTAGATTTAAAATCTATAAAGGCTTCAGGCTGTGATTTTGTGCATATCATTTTGTTTTATTTAGAGGAATGTTAGTCATAAATCAAAATTTGCACCCAATGCATTATGCAAAGAACTGTCAATGCTGTTTAATTGCATCAGTTTCAACTGACTTCCCAGTAGATTGAGATTTGATAAAAAGGTACCCCTACGTTTTGCTGCAACAGGTGGACTCGACCATTCACCTTGTCCTTCCTTGAAACCTGTGTACAGTATTTGAGAGGCTCAAACTGGGCACAGTATTTATGGTGGTGGTTGACTGGAGCAGAACCAGGTGGAAGAATTCTTAGTCTCTGTTTTGTGTCCCAATCTGTATTTTTAGGAGAGGACAGTTTCTGGCTCCTTATCTCTCCTTCAGGAAAGGTTTCAGCTGGAACCAGGATTGCCCCTGAGATGGGGCAACTGAGAGACCGGCTTGAACTCAGCCAGGAAGTAATGAAGGCTGGACTTGAACAACAGGCAAAGCCCCCCCAAATCCAGCCTTTCTCAATACTGCCCCGCTTAGCAAATGTGAATGTGGGTGTTGTGTGAATTGAATCAAAACGTACTGGGCTGGCCAGGATATCTCAAGCTCTAGAGCAGAGATCTCAAACACAAGGCCCGCAGGCCACATCCAGCCCGCCATGTTATCTGTCTGGCCCAGGGACCTGCTCTGGAAAAGCAAAGGAACAGCCCAAACCAACCGGACACTCATCTACAACCTGGTGCCCGCCCTCAAAGCCAGAACGCGCTCAGCCTTAGATCCACAGGCCAGCCCTGGAACCAGTAACATGCACCCCTGCCCCGTCCCCTGGGCGCACGCGCAAGCGGAGTCTGGTGTCCCTGCTAGCTATGTTGCCCTGCAGGCTGATTTCACCCAGGGTGGTGGGGTGACGCCTCACTGGTTCCAGAGCTGCCCTGTGGATCTAAGGCTGAGCACATTCTGCCTTTGATGGACGCAACCAGGTTGCAGATCAGCCCCACCGCCCACCACCAGCCCCATGGCCCCCTCGCTGCCCTAGCCTTGCAGCCATGAGGCTTCCCTTTCACCAGGACTAGCCCTGCCCACCCATGAGGGATAGTGACGGCCAACGGCAGCATGGAGACCGACAGCACTGGCAATCTCCCCCCCCTCCTATCACCCCTTCCTGAGTGCGGAGGAAGGAAAGAGATGAGAAGGAAGGAAGGAACGGAGAGAGGAAGAATAGAGGGAGGGAGGGAAAAAGGGAGGGAGGAAGAAGGAAGGAAAGCAACTAACTTACCTCTGTTCCTAAATGCTAAAGCTGTTGCACATAAAAAACGGAGGCGCTCTGATCAACTGTCACAGCCACCATTTTGACAGTTTTGCTGTAGTGTTGTCTGTGCACGTCCCCACTAAATGCAAGCATGGGATAAACTGGGCCTGGTTTGTTCTCTGTCTTTTAAGTGGCCACAGACTACTAGCCAAAGGGGCCTTTGATCACGAGGCAAGAAGGCCTAGAGCAATGTTTCCCCTTTCGCATTTGAGCATCCAAGAAGGGGCAGGGAAGGAGAAAGGGAAGGAGGAAAGACAAAGAAGGGAAGGGGAAGGAAAAAGAAGAAAAGGGGGAAGGGAGGCAGATTATAAGGGAGGAAGTCCTGCCTTAGCACTTCACCACAAGCAGCCATGCTGCCCTTTCACCATCCCCTTGCCCCCTCCTCCTGGCCGCTCCTGGTGGTCTCCTGTCAAATTGCCAAGGAGAGCGAGCCAATCAGCAGCAGCCTTGAGGTAAGTGCAGCCAGGTGCCCCCCCCAGCAGCTGGCATCACGGGGGGGGGGGTCCTCTGCATGGCCTGAGAGGGACAGCGAGGCTCCTCTGGTGGACATCTGGACACAGTGGATTCCCCCCCTAGCCCTGCCTGGGCCCCCATAGGCACCCCCTCCAACATGTGCAATGTTGAGGTGCCCCCCCCCACCTTAGCCACACCACCTGCCCCTCCAATGTGTTTTTAATTTTGTATTATTAATAAAATTTAAAAAAATTGCAATGCCTGGCAACTGTTTCATATTTATGATGGTCGCAGTGCCTGGGGAGGGTCACGTGATCGGCTTTTGTGACCTTCTGACGAGCAAACTCAATGGGGGAAGCCAGGGGCGCTTAACAATTGTGTTACCGACTTAACAACTGCAGGGTGAGAGGGAGGTTGATCAGGGGGACGGTTAGGGAGGGGAAGAGGGATACAAAGGGTGTTCCGAAGGGGAATGGGACAGAGGGGGCGCAGGGAATGGAATGGGCAGGGGGAAGGAGAGAAGAAAGAAGGGGGCGGGGGAGAGAACAGGGAGGGGGGGGGAGGTGAGGCAAAAAAGAGGAAGAGCAAATAGCAATGGAGAGATGGACCATGAGGGGATCAGAGGGAGGGGGGGATAGGGAGGGGGATAGAGAAGGGGAGGTCAATGGGAGGAGGAGAGGATGTGGCTGGCAAGGGGGGGGGGGTAAGGGAGCGAGAGGGATGGGGAAATAGACCTTGAGGGGGGTGGGGAGAGTGAGCAGAAGGGGGGAGTTGTCAGTAATGATGTGTATGTTTATTGTTGTTCCAGGTCTATCCTTCTTCCAGGGCGTCACCATGTCAAGCCCAATTGGCACTTTCACCTATATTCACTTACAGCTTGACAAAAAAAGGGGGAGGGAGAGAGAATGCAAGGGTGTAACATTTTTACAGTTATCAATAATTTTTAACTTATACATAGTTATTTTAACGTCCAATCTTTATAGACAATGTCCTAATCAGTTTTCCCAAATTTTAGTTTCCCGTTAATATTTGAATTTAACACTTATGAATTGTAATTTCCAGATTTGGAGTAACCAATATTCCCATCACCAAATTCATTACACAATCTAATATTCAGGATACACATCTTATCTATTTTGCACCACCTTACACCATCTAGTTAGTAATACAGCATAACATACTTATTTTCTATTAATTTCCAAATATCTTAACCTTAGTAATCAGAATTTGTTTTTTCCACATCAGATGCTTCCTCTCTTTTTCTCTTAATGTCTACTATCTCATATTTAGTTAATAAAATTTTTAATATGTCAGCTAAATAACACATGTTGACTACCATTGTTCTAGGCACCCATGAGAGAAAGCGACCATCAACACCCCGTGTGTGGCTGCCAATCATGACTGAATACCACCGTGTCACATGCCCCGTTAGGCAGAGGCAACAACATGGGAGACTTCCTTGGGATGGTGGCCACTTGGAGGGGAGGTCAGTAGGCCCCAGACTTAAGTGGTTCTTCTATTCCTCTTTGGATTTCAGGGTAGGTACATCATAATTAAAATGTTATTTGACCATAAATCCATCAGTCTGGACAGCCATTTGTCTGGAATAGTATAGTATTTCTTGCTTGAGCAATGGGTTGGACTAGGTGACCTCAAGGGCCCATCCAGCTCTATTCCGATTCTGACTTTGGCCAGAACTCACTCACTGGTCTGCTATTGCATGTCAATAGGCTATCGGTCATCCCAAAGATGCTTTTTCATGAGGCAACTGGACTTGTTTTTCCTTTGAAGATGTTTCACTTCTCACCCAAGAAGCTTCTTCAGTTTTAACTGGAAGGTGGACAATGGAAGGATTTATATTCCTTGAAGACAGCTGGTCATTTATAGTCTTTTATAGTACAAATGGGTGTGGAGCCTTCTTGGAACTGCTGAAAGGACTGTGTTGAAGACTGTAGGTAGATGATGATACCCCTCCCGTCGAGAGAGAGAGCTGTTAAATTTTGACACAGAGGGCCTCTTTGACCCCTTTCAAGCCAGCGCCGTCCAAAATGTGGACTTTGCTGTCTTTAAAAGAATGCCCTTTGTCTTTTCATTGGGGAGAACAACCACTTCATAAATGCATGGCACAACATACCTTATCAGGACAAGATTCAGCAGTCCATCTGCATTTAAAAGACAAAGGCCGCTCTTTTGAAGACAGCAAAGTCCGTATGTTGGACAGAGAGGGTTACGGTACACACCCATTTGCACTACTCAAGTGATCCTGAGAACACAGATAAACCTCCAAGTGGCCTCAGCAACTCTCTAAAAGAATGCAAATGATCAGCTATCTGTAAGGAATATATATCCTTCTCCACCATCCAGTCAGAGCTGAAGCTGCTTCTTGGATGAGAAGTGAAAAGCCTTCAAAGAAACAAGAAAGTCCAGTTGCCTCTTTAAAAAAACAGCTTGGATTCTTAGTTCGTTTTTGAGACTGCCATTTATTCTGAAAAATCTAGCACACTCTGTGCATTTATAAACTTTATTCTCTGTGTAAAGTTTATAATTTTTACTGAGACCTATTCTGACTGAAAGGTTTCCCACACATCATAAGTTATAGTGAATATTTTGATAACGTCTGAGATTTTTGTTTGCTGTGAATGATTCTCCACACTCCAGGCATCTAAATGGTTTCTTTTCTGTATGGAATCTTTGATATCTATAAAGCTTTTCTCTCAGTGAAGCTGTTTCCACATTCCAGGCATTTATAGGATTTTTTTCTTGTCTGCATAGTTTGATGTCGACTGAGGTGTAAAACCCTTTGCACACTCAAGGCATTTATGTGGATTTTCTTCCGTGATGTGCATAAAGGTTTCCTCTCCCACTGACGCTCTTTCACATTCCCGGTTTTATATGGTTTTTCTCTAGTGTGGATTTTCATGTTTATAAAGGCTTTCCCCCTGACTAAAGCTCTTTCCACTCCTGGCACTTATAGGGTTTCTCTCTCGTGTGAATTCTTTGATGTCTATAAAGGTTTCCCTGCAGAGTGAAGCTCTTTCCACACTCTGGACACTTATAGGGTTTTTCTCCAGTGTGAATTCTTTGATGTGTATAAAGGTTTCCCCGCAGAGTGAAGCTTTTTCCACACTCCAGGCATTTATATGGTTTCTCTCCAGTGTGAATTCTTTGATGTCTATAAAGGATTCCCCTCAGACTGAAACTCTTTCCACAATCCAGGCATTTATATGGTTTTTCTCTAGTGTGGATCTTTTCATGTTTATAAAGGCTTTCCCCCTGACTAAAGCTCTCTCCACAGTCAGGGCACTTGTAGGGTTTCTCTCCAGTGTGAATTATTTGATGATTATAAAGGTTTCCCCTCTGACTGAAGCTGTCTCCACACTCCAGGCACTTATAGGGTTTCTCTCCAGTGTGAATTCTTTGATGTCTATAAAGGTTTCCCCACAGAGTGAAGCTCTTTCCACACTCCAGGCACTTAAAGGGTTTCTGTCCTGTGTGAATTCTTTGATGGTTATAAAGAGTTCTTCTCAGACTGAAACTCTTTCCACACTCCAGGCATTTATGGAGTTTCTCTCCAGTGTGAATTCTTCGATGTGTATAAAGGTCTCCCCTCAGACTGAAACTCTTTCCACATTCCAGGCATTTATATGGTATTTCTCCTGTGTGGATCCTTTCATGTTTATAAAGGCTTCCCCCCTGACTAAAGCTCTCTCCACAGTCAGGGCACTTATATCGTTTGTCTCCAGTATGAATTATTTGATGATTATAAACGTGTCTCCTCTGAGTGAAGCTTTTTCCACACTCCGGGCACTTATAGGGTTTCTCTCCAGTGTGAATTCTTTGATGTGTATAAAGGTTTCCCCTCTGAGTGAAACTCTTTCCGCACTCCGGGCACTTATAGGGTCTCTCTCCAGTGTGAGATCTTTGATGTCTATAAAGGTATTCCCGCAGAGTAAAGCTCTTTCCACACTCTAGACACTCATAGGGTTTCTCTCCAGTGTGAATTCTTTGATGATTATCAAGAGTTCTTTTCAGACTGAAACTCTTTCCACACTTCAGGCATTTATGCGGTCTCTCTCCCGTGTGAATTCTTTGATGATTATAAAGGTGTCCCCTCTGAGTGAAGCTCTTTCCACACTCTGGACACTCATAGGGTTTCTCTCCAGTGTGAATTCTTTGATGATTATAAAGAGTTTTTTTCAGGCTGAAACTCTTTCCACACTCCAGGCATTTATGCGGTTTCTCACCTGTGTGACTTCTTTGATGATTATAAAGGTGTCCCCTCTGAGTGAAGCTCCTTCCACACTCCTGGCATTTATGTGGTTTCTCTCCTGTGTGGATTCTTTGATGTTTATAAAGGTTTCCTCTCTGACTGAAGCTCTTTCCACACTCCAGGCACTTAAACGGCTTTTCTCCTGAGTGGATTCTTAGATGGATTTCAAGATTTCCTTTTGTTTTGAAGGATTTGCCACATTCCGGGCATTCATATTTCTCTCCTGCCTCCTGGATTCTGTAGCGTTTTCTGAGTCTTCCGCCTCCTCTGAAGTACCCTCCGCCCTCCAGGCCCGTCTCGGGGTCTCCGCCCGTTTCCTGCTCCCCGCTTCTCGCTCCAGGCGGCCTCCTTTCCCGGAGTCCCCCTCGGCTCATCCCTGTCGGGCCTTCCCCGCCATCGCCTCCCGGGGCTGCTCCGCGGGGCCTCCTCTCCTCTCGGGCGGCGCCTCCTTCCTTCCTTCCTTCCTTCCTTCCTCGGCCGGGCTCGCCCGTCCTGCAGGGGCGAAGGGGGGGAGGAGAGGCGGGTCACGGCTTCGTCCCTTCCCCGGAGGGGAGTCCCAGGCCCGCCCGGGGAGGAAGGCCGAAGCCTCGGCCTCTCACGGACCCGGCCTCCCTCCCAGCGTCGCCCACCCAGACCAGCCTGGGGCTCCCCGTCCCGCCTCCCGCGACTCCCAGCATCCCCCGCGGCTCACCTGCCTCCGTGCACTTCGACCCGGGACGCTCCTTCCGCTGCCTGTCCGCTGCCGGAAGCGGGGGCGGCACTTCCGTCCGTTCGGCCAGCCTCCTGCCTTCTCTGATTGGTGTTCCAGCCCTGCCTGTCTGCCGAAGCTATGCGAGCCGCCCTCTGAGAGGCGGGAGCGGATGGGCGGGGAGGCCGCTGCGGAGGCTTCCGCTTCCGGAGGGAGGCGAGCCAGGCCTGGCTTCCGGCTGAAGCGCCCGGGATCCCCGCGGGGGGAAGGTGGCCGCGGCAGCCTTGGGCGGGGAGGCCGTGCGGGCCCGTCCCTCCCTCCCTCCCCGGGGCTCCTCCTGGCAGACGGAACGGCTGCCCGGAGCTCCGCTCGGACCCGACGCCGAGCCGCTGCTGTTCGAGGCGGTCCGCGCAGGGAGGCCGGCTCTGCCCTCGGAGGCCCCGGAGGGAGGCGGGAGGCCCGCCGGGCAGGGCCGTCCGAGTCGGGCGGGGGGCGCGGGGTCTGGTCGGCGCGGGGAGCCGCCTTCCTGTGGCGGACGCGGGCCCGAATCGCCTTCCTGACCCGCGTTTCCCGATGTTACAAATCTATTCTTGTAAAATGTTGTCTATTAAATATATATATATATATATTTGATTGGAATGTCATTCTCTCCAAAGATCTTTTAATCTGTTAATAAATGTTCTTAAATCTGCATTGTTGTACTTTTATTTCCGCTGGTGGTGGATTAGATTTATCAGTTCCTGTATCCATAACCATAGTAGAATCACCTGCCATTATCACGTAGCCTTTTTTATTTCTTCTGTTTCTCTATATACCCTATTATAAAACTCTCCTTGATTTGTATTAATAATGAGAATAATAAAGTTAGAAGGGACCTTGGAGGTCCTCTAGTCCAACCCCCTGCTCAGGCAGGAAACCCTACACCATTTCAGACAAATGGCTGTCCAGTCACTTTTTAAAAACTTCCAGTGTTGGAGCATTCACCACTTCTGGAACCACTGGTTAATTGTTCTGTCGGGAAGTTTCTCCTTAGTTCTAGGTTGCTTCTCTCTTTGGTTAGTTTCCATCCATTGCTTCTTATCCTGCCCTCAGGCGCTTTGGAAAATAGCTTGACTCCTTCATAAACCAAGCCTTGAATTACAAGAAATCTTCCTATATCATCCCTTTTTATGGCTTTTATCTTACATTCACATCTTTTAGCTACCATGATTGCTACTCCTCTTGGCTTTTGATATACCAAATGCCTTTTCATATACATCAGCCCAATATAACCTAAGGTCATTCACCCCTTCTTTCTTTTGATGTGTTTCTTGTATAAATACAATATCTATTTTCCTTTTGTTAACCTATTTTTGAGTTCTTGCTTGTTTATATTTTTCCCCTGAAGGGAGTTGATATTCGTAATATTGATATTAGTAGTGATACTTTGTAATCATATATATATCTTTATGTGCAAGCAGCTTTGTAGGTGCTTTATATTGGGAAATTAGTTATATAAAAGCAAATGTTTCATGCTTTAGGTACAGGTGATTGCTTACACGAAAAGAGCATGGTAAGGGGAGGGAAAAAGGAGTTATGGATGAAGCCTGGGTTGCTGTGTATGAGTCATCATCTTGGAATTGTTTTTTTGTGCCATCTTAGGCCTGGTACCAAGACCTGATCTTTTTGTTCTGGACAGGTATAAAAGGTGGAAGACATCTTTCCTGCTTGTTGTCTTCCTCTCTCTACCAGCCACGAACAGAGATGGGGTCACCCAACTCTATTTTGATCAAAATAAAAGTTTGCTTGCTGAAACCTCGGCTCAGGAGTTTCTTTGGCTCTTTTAAACTCCTGAGTAATGCTGGGACGAAACCTTACAACCCCAAGCCATGTACATTCCATGTCGCTACCTTCAGTGATTTCCCCATCTATTCCTTAAATTACATACGCCCTTTGCTCTCCATATGTGCTCTAACATGAATCTTAGAAAACTAAAACTACAAAGTAAGCATATTGCCCCAAAACATAAATAACCTCTTACCCACCCATGTACATATACATTGTCCCTCTTCTTCAGGAGATTTTCCTCCTATCTGCCACTTTGGGCTTCCGGGGGGAGGGGGGGAGAGGAGCCATCCCTGCACGGACTTTGGTCGCCCACTCGACTTCCCTTGACCTTCTTTACCCTTAATTTCTACACCCAAACGCGTATTGTAAAATTACAAATATTTATATACTATCTCTACAACGAACTTGTAACTCCTGTTGCTTCATCCAGCTTCCCTTTCTCCTGTAGATCTTCTTTATTGATGATTCCGTGCTCCCTTAATTTCTCCATCGCCTCCTCTTTGTTTCAACTCTGTAAAACCTTCCACTGTAAGAAAATCTCAAAAAAACCGGATATCCCTAGCTGTAGTTAATGTTATTAACAAACTTCTTTGACAAACGTAATAAAGTTGGAAGGACCTTGGAGGTCATCTAGTCCAATCCCCTGCTCAGGCAGGAAACCCTATACCATTTCAGACAAATGGCTGTCCAGTCTCTTCTTAAAAACTTCCAGGGTTGGAGCATTCACCGCTTCTGGAGGCAGGTTGTTCCACTGGTTAATTGTTCTAACTGTCAGGAAGTTTCTCCTTAGTTCTAGGTTGCTTCTCTCCTTTCTTAGTTTCCATCCGTTGCTTCTTGTCCTGCCCTCAAGTACTTTGGAGAATAGCTTGACTCCCTCTTCTTTGGGGCAGCCCCTGAAATATTGGAAGACTGCTATCGTGTCTCCCCCTCATCCTTCTCTTCATTAGACTAGACATACCCAATTCCAGCAACCTTTCCTTATGTTTTAGCCTCCAGTCCCCTAATCTTCTTTGTTGCTCTTTGTCCTCTTTCTAGAGCAGAGCTTTTCAACCTTTTCACCCATTATGACCATTTTTCACACTTACGACTGTTGCAGCATCCCCAGGGTCATGTGATTTACATTCAGATGCTTGGCAACTGATTCATACGTACGACGGTCACAGTGTCCCAGGGTCATGTGATCACCTTTTGCAACTTTTTGAGCCAGCTCATCTCTGAGGTTGCAGGGTGCCTGTGTGTGGGGAATCCATGAATCTCTGCTGAAGGGGATTGTGACTGGGGTGGGTACCCTCCTTCCCTCCCTCTCTCCCATTGTCCCTTCTTTCCTTCCTTTTTCCCCTTCTTCTTTGTCCCTCCCTCCCTCCCATTGTCCAGCACTACGCCGCCCAGGCCCCAGTCTGGAGAAAATCACTTCCCTCCCTGTGTGCGCACAGAAGCAGAGGAGAGTTAGCATGACAGAAGCAGAGCAGTGTTAAGTCCAATATAAAGGAATGACTAAATCTCTTGATACAGGAATAGTTGCAAAAACTGCATTCCAAGATTCTGATGCAAGAAATCTCAGCCTTTGTGTAAGAAGCGGCCGATCAGCTGGAATGTTGCAGCATCTCCAGGGTCTTGTAATTTACGTTCAGATGCTTGGCATATTTCATATTTATGACAGTCACAGGGTCCAAGTGACCAAAACCTGTTGCAATCAGCCAGCGGGGGGGAGGGGGGGGGGGGATAAAAACCAAACACCCCCCCACCCCACCCCCACTGCCAATCCTCAACAGAAATGCTCAGAACAATGAAAACCTTGGACAGGAGGAAGAGCGCACCCGGGCGGGCAGGCAGCTGTCTTGCTTGGCTATGGTTTGGGGGGGGGGGGCACTTTTTTTAGTACCAATGTAACTTTGAACAGTCACTAAGCGAACTGTTGTAAGTTGAGGACTACCATTACTTTATCACTTTTTTTCCTTTTTTTTTTTGGAAAAGTAAAAAAAAAAGTTTTCGACACCTTGCAAGGCGACTGGTGGTCCTCGGATGTTGCCATATCTTAAAAGTGGTACAATGGGTGAAAAGGTTGAGAAGCCCTGCCCTCGGTATAATGGCCAATTGCTCTGCCGCTTCAGACCATAAGTCAGACAACATCTAAGCTGTGAGTGCCCCCGTGGTGAACCCGGGTAAGAATCTGCTTGCAGCTCTCTCTTTTCTACTTTTCTTTTTGCTACCTGTAAAAGCTTTTGGAACTATTTCCCTGGTTGGAAAGGCAGCTTCTATCTTCTTTGGGAAGAAAGGCGTTTTATAAATACAGAAACAGACTATATTTTATTTTTATGTTTTATTTTTGGATACAAAAAGGAAAAAAAGTTGGAAAAGGTTTTCTTTCCTCTCTCTTTTCAAGAACTGTACTATTTTTATTTTATTTTTTTATTTATATATCAAAATTTATATATCAAAAGATAGAAATAAGGAATTGATCTCTGGAAAAGACTTTTTAACCCACTGAGGACATCTAGTGGCGAAAGTGTAATACTGCAGCTTTTGGCTATTGTTTTTTTTTTTTAAAAAAAAGATGGAACTCTGAACTTCAAAATACCTTTGAGGAAAAGATAAGCTGTGCAGCTGTGAAAGCTGTGGAGGTGGATGTTCTTTGCATTAGATACAGCCTCCAGAAAAAGGAAAAGAGAACTGTTGTTAAGCATTGTATTAAAATGGAGATAACTCTGTCACAAGCGGAACTGTGCACTTATATTGGAAAAGATTTATGAGGCCACTGCAGAAATACGTGCTGCAATTAAAAACTGTACTTTAGAATTGAGATCCAGAGAGTCTACCACATCTGTTCAAATGGATGTTCAGGCCATACCTGACTATGATATAAACCAAAATATATCAAAAGAGGAATCTACAGGGACAGAAGAGGAACGTATTTTACTTGACAACTCTTTCTTCTGCAACTTAGAGTCAGAAGACGCAAACACCAAGATCCCAAACTACAAAGCAACGATGCAGCAAGGAGAAAAAGACATCTATTGAAGAGGAAGGGATATACTACAAGCAATTTGCTCCTCGAAGCATGAAGCTGAAAACACCAGCCTGAAGATGACGAATGGGACTTCGTCGAAACATCGCCAAGACACTTCCAATTTTACAACTTTCTCATTCAGCATTTGTACGAAAGGTGCTAACCAACCTGGTACTGTTCAGAAAAGTCCCCCAGGGCTGTATTTAGACCTCCACCCTCTTTAAGTAGCACCTCCACTCCTCGACAGCTCATCTGACTGTCTCCTGCTTACACCTCCTCAATCTCTGGGCCCTACTTCTCCTCTATGCTGAGGATCTGGATCGTGTCTCACGAAGCTTTGCTGGTCTTAGAGAGTCTCCTGTTTCTGCTAAGAAGCTTTGAAGATGAGGGGACCATTGAGAGCATCTGATTTACAAGAGTTTCAGATATCTGGGGATGGTCTTAGATGGCGCTGACCTTTGGAAAACCCTGTCATTGATTATATCAATGACAGGGAGGAGCTCGATCACATCCCCAACAATGAAGGCCATATTAGCCCCAGTGTCAGGTCCTGCCAGTTCCTACCATCTGGAGGGGTATTGGGGGAATGGACAAATGGACAATATCTTTGTACTTGATGGGAAACAGGGAGGGGGAAATGACACATGATAAAGCCCAGAATTGGTTTCTAGCAGAGGCACCTTTTGCTCCAATCCGATGAAGATGAGGGTCTTTCCTTCCTAAGGGACCAGTTGGGGCAGGTCAGACACCTAGATTCTGCCACGGCACTCTTGTTCAAATTAGAAGATCGTTTAAAAGCAACTTATTAATCTTACAAGGAGGTTTCTCTTAACGAAAAGACGAGCCCAGGACACATACAGTAGAAAAAGTACAAAAGAATAGTTGATTGGATGGAAGAAATCCGGTTACATCAGAAACTTGGACAGTAAGTTAAACGTCCCATAATAACATAACCATTTAAAACCATTGTATTAAAAGAAGAACGTTCCCATGGGAAAAGGCATCTTGAGCATCATGAGCCACTTAAATCTGTTGAGAAAAGATACAATTTCGGCCAGCTGAAACCTCTAGCATGTACAATTGAAAAAGTCCTTTGCTATTCAGCCTGAGAGAGTCCCTTGTTTTGCAGCTAGAAAGTTACAAGCACCTGGATGCTAAGGCAGAAACCTTCTATATTACAAGGTTATCGTTATTAAAGTTACAAGAAAGTGCAACCAAGTAGAAGAAACCTGTTTCTTGGCCCTCAGGACTGTATTCCTGCAACACAGAGGTTTTCACAGGAGGCAAAGGTTACGGCTGGCATAACTTGAATTGCTAAGCAGAGAGCAAAGGTAGCACTGAGGATCAGGTGGGAGGCAAAAAGGAGAGAAAAGGGAGAATTGGCTCATTAATAACCAAGAATGCAGTTTGTTCTCTGTGTGGAAGGAGGGAGTGGGACAAAAGGTACAGAAGGGGCGAGAGGCTTATTTCAAGGGAAGAATTAACCCAAGAGAGAACGCTCTGATTTCCAGGCCCATGGAAAGAACTGTGGGCACAATGGAAATTGGAAAGTTTCTTCAGAACATTCCAATAGCAGCTTCTGGATCTCAAGATGAAATCTCACCAATCAGAAGAAATTGTGATACGAGTTTGTATTAGGCATGACAGAACAGCAGAATCATTAAACAGAGAGTAGCAATAAAGGGAAGAGTAAAATGGTGCTGTCCGTAAGTTTACTTACTCTTGAGTGTTTTGGATGAGAATACATTACACACTCATGTTGACATACAAAGAAGATGGCAATGAAGGTTAACTGTTCACACCTTCCAAACTCCAGACATAAGGTTTTTCTCCTGTGTGGATCCTTTGATTACACAGAGTTCCCGCCCTGTTGAAGCTCTTTCCACATTCCAGGCATTCATAGGGTTTCTCTTGTGTGAATTCTTTGATGTTTACGAAGACTTCCACTTTCAGTAAAGCTCTTTCCACACTGGAGGCATTTATACGGTTTCTCTCCTGAATGGATCCTTTGATGAAGATAAAGGCTGAACTTCCGACTGAAGCTCTTTCCACACTCCAGGCATCGATACGGTTTTTCTCCCGTGTGGATCCTTTGATGTACATAAAGATTGTTCCTCCATTTGAAACCCTTTCCACACTCCAGGCATTTATATGGTTTTTCTCCAGAGTGGATCCTTTGATGTACATAAAGGTTGCTCCTCCGATAAAAGCTTTTTCCACATTCCAGGCATTTATACGGTTTTTCTCCAGAGTGGATCTTTTGATGTCTATAAAGGGTGCTCCTGCAACTGAAGCTCTTTCCACACTCCAGGCATTTATACGGTTTTTCTCCTGTGTGGATCCTTTGATGTACATAAAGGTTGCTCCTCTGATTGAAGCTCCTTCCACACTCCAGACATTTATAAGGGTTCTGTCCTGTGTGGATTCTTAGATGGCTTTCAAGATTTCCATCTGATCTGAAGGATTTTCCACACTCCAGGCATTTATGTGGTTTTTCTCCTGTGTGGATTCTTAGATGCTTTTTAAGATCTGCATTTCTTTTGAAGGATCTTCCACATTCTGAACATTCATATTTCTTTCCTCCCTCCAGGATTATGTGGTGTTTCCAAAGTCTTCCGCCTGTCCCGAAGGACCCTCCGCCCTCCAGGCCCGTCTCGGGGTCTCCGCCCGTTTCCTGCTCCCCGCTTCTCCCTCCGGGCGGCCTCCTTTCCCGGAGTGCCCTTCGGCTCATCCCTGCCGGGCCTTCCCGCCGTCTCCTCCCGGGGCTGCTCCGCGGGGCCTCCTCTCCTCTCCTTCCTTCCTTCCTCCGCCGGGCTCGCCCGTCCTCCTGCAGGGGCGAAGGGGGGGAGGAGAGGCGGTCACGGCTTCGTCCCTTCCCCGGAGGGGAGTCCCAGGCCCGTCCGGCGAGGAAGGCCGAAGCCTCCGCCTCTCCGTGGGACTTTCCGGGCAGGCCTCCCTCCCAGCGCCCGTCCCGCCAGACCAGGCCTCGGCCTCCCCCCTCCCTCCCTCCGCCAGAGCGCCTCTCGGACTGCCACTCCCAGCATCCCTTGCGCCCCACCTGGATCCGAGCCCGTCCGTGGATGAATCAATTAGGGCGCCTCAGTTCCGTTTCATCCCGGAAGTGGAGGCGGGACTTCTCTGCGCGGCCTTTTCCTGGATGCTCTTTCTCCTTCGCTCGAAGGGACCGCCCCCAGGAGTCCTCCTGCCAATCGCCGCCCTCGCCAGAGCGACCAATCGGCGTCCTTCTTCCCTCCCGCAGCCAGATGGCGCCTGCGCAGTAGCGAATGTTGTCTCCGTCCGGCGAGGGGGTGGGACGAGGGGCCCTTTGACCTTTGGCAGGCGGAGCTGAGGGACTTCCGGGGCTGCGTCTCCGCCCCTCCCTCCCCCCCGATCCTGGGGTCTCCTCCCCCTCCCGGGGGCTCCGCCCAGGCTCCCCCCGCGGCCCCCAGGCAGCCCCTCCCGCCTCTCAGGGCCGATCCCTGCCCCCCCACTCCCCTGCGCCCCCCCGGAGCCCCTCCTCGCACGGGGGGGGGAAAGGGGGGCGAGGGGGTCCCAGGCCGGGATGGATTGGGAGGATTTCTGTTTGGAAAGGTTTCTCCCCCCCCCGTTCTGCCCAGCCAGAGAGGGAGGGGGAGGGAGACCCTTCCCAGCCTCTCTCGGGGGGGCTTCGGACTGGGGGAGATTGGGGGAGCCCTGTAACCTCCAAGGCTGCCCCCCCTTTTGAGGCCTTGCCTTGAGAGGAGGGTCCCTCCAGCCCCCCCCCCGAGGGTGGCAGGGGTGCCTCTTCCATCGCAGGCCGGAGAGATGGAGGCTTCTGCGCAGGATCGGGGCCCTTCCTGGCAGCGCCTTCCTCTGGGGAGAGGGAGCTGGGAGTCGGTTCCTGGGGTCCCATGGTGCCCCTCGGCCAGCTTGGGACAAGTGAATCTGGCTTCCCCATTGACTTTGCTTGTAAATCACATGACCCTAGGGATGCTGCAATGGTCATAAGTGTGAAAAGTGGTCGTAAGTCACTTCTTTCAGTGCTGTTGTAACTTCATAAGTCACTAAATGATCTCTTGTAACTCGAGGACTGGCTGTACTTCCACGCAAAGTAAAACCAATCTTTTACTTTTGCAATATTTTTTATGCTTTTTCATAACCATACTGTCTTCCGCTATTCCAGGGCAGGAGATTCTTCAGTGGGGTGAGATGCTCCGTTTGGATTCAGCAGTTCCCCCATTTATCTCCCGAGTTTGCAAGACTTTAGCAGACCGAATATAACTTTAGGGTGAACCAAAAATACAAACGGTGTCATTTTCTTTCCTTGAAAAGCCAGACCGTGTCCACGAGGGGGAAGTTTGGGGACTGAGTTGAAATGCTGGCTGGGAACAGTTATGACCGTTGAGCAGTTTTTCTACCCAATTGGGCTAGTTTTGGAGATGGGTTGCAGGACAGTTTTGACCTCGGTGGGTTCCAGTTTGGGGGCTATTATGGGCTATTTTTAAAGGGCTGTAGAGAGAGTCCTTGACTGACCACCATTTGTTTAGTGATTGAAGTTACAGCAGATCTGAAAAAAGTGACATATAATCAGTTTGCACAATTCTGAGCGTTGCAGGTCATGCAATCAAAATTCAGGCACCTGGCGTGGATTCCTGACAGTTGCACAGTGCGAAGCTCACCTGTTCACCCTTCTAACCTCCGCAGCTGGCGTCTGACAAGCAAAGTCATCAGAGGAAGCCAGATTCACTTAACAACGGTGTGATTCACTTAGCAGCTGCACTAATTGGCTTAATAACTGGGGGAGATGACTGACAACAGTGGCAAAAAGCGTAGTAAAATGGAGTGAAACTCACTTTGGCAAAAAGCATAGTAAAATGGAGTGAAACTCACTTTGGCAAAAAGCATAGTAAAATGGAGTGAAACTCACTTAGCGGTCAGCAACAGAAACCTTTGGCTCAATTGTGGTCATAGGTGTACAGTTTGGGGTCAATATATCAATCTATCATGAACAATAACTGCAAAATACATCATGGGTAGCAAACAGGGGTGGGTCAGTCAGCCCCCTCCCCTCTAGCTGCATCACCAGCCCCTCCCTCCCCAGATCCAGCATCTCCTCTCTCTCCCCTTCTCTCCCAAGGCCCCCTTTGCAAAACTGCAGCTGAGGGGGAGAATCCCCTGCAACGCCTCTCCCCTTAATACTTGGATTTTTCAACCTAGACGTAGCCCTCCAACCCTGAGCTGGCACCTGTCTCATTTCCTCTTCTTCCTGCAGCTGACTGGCAAAACAATGCACCTGCTTATCTGCCAGCACATTTGCAAGTTAACTCTCCCCCCCTCCACTTACCTGTCCACTTCCATGGGCATCTGTAATCGCCCACCTGCTGAAACTTTGGGAACACTGCAGAGAAGAGCAACTAAGATGTTTAAAGTATGAAGAACATTTGCAGGATTTGGCTTTGGCCAGTCTAGAGAAAAAGAGGACTAGGGGTGATGTGATAGCCGTATTTCAGAGACTGCCACAAAGAGGAGGGGGTCAGTTTATTTTCCCAAGATACAACAATAGTAGCCCTTATTCACGATGACAATGAGGTTCTTACCCCAAGGAGGTTGACAATTTGGTGAACTGGTGTAAGAAAAACAGCCTAGTTTTAAATACTGGAAAAACCAAAGAGATCATTGTCAATTTCAGAAAAGGCAGGCACAGCCACACTTCACCTGTGGAGATGGTCAACAGCATCAAACTCCTGGGTGTGCAGCTAACAAGTAGACTACCCCAGTCGCTCAACAGTGAGATCCTGGTGGAGCAGGCACAGAAGCGCCTGAATTGTCTGTGGTCACATGAGAAAAGCACATCTTCCTTCCCCTGTCCTGACCACTTTCTACAGGGGGACGATTGAGAGCAGCCTCTCGTACAGCATCACAGTCTGGTTTGGAAGCATCACTGCTTCAGACAGGAAGGCGGTGCAGGGAGTGATGAAGATGGCAGAATAGATTATTGGCAGTTCCCTCCCTTCTATCCAGGACACGGCATGTAAGCGTTGCTTGAGCAGGGACCGTAAGATTGTCTGGGACGCCACACATCCTCTGCACAACTGTTTTCCTTGTTATTTTCTGGGAGGAGGCTTGGTGGTATCTGTAGCAGAACATCCAGGTTTAATCAGTTTTGTTCCATACAATATGAACCTTGTGAACTGTCAAGCTTCCTCTTTCCGTTATGCATTCAAGATGGACAGTGATTAATATTTGTATGTTATTTATATGTAAGGGTGCAGGTTTATACTTATGCTGTATATAGCATGTTTAAATGTATGTTATGTATATGTACACTTTGAGGGCAGGTGTACCATTGTGCCCACAGTGTTGGTTATGTGAATGAACCAATTATCTCCCAGTTAATTTTCAGGTTTGTATCCTGTGTTTCCCTCAATGTAAGAGACAACCAGGCTGGGCCCGAGGTTGGGTCAAATGCCTCATTAGTTTGGAGTCTCTACACCTCCATAAGAGACCTAAGTCCAGCCCCCGTCCCCCCTTGAAGTCTATTGGTGCCAATTCACTTTGACCATTTAGGCAGGAAAAAAATGAAATACAGATTAGGGGGGACCCGACTTTAAAACAGTAACTACGAGAGGGAGCTTGGAGTCGTAGTGAACGATCACTTCACTCACCATGAGCCAGCAGTGTGCAGCAGTAGCAGCAGCAGCCAAAAAAGCTAATACAATCCTGGGTTACATAAACAGGCACAGAATCAAGGTCACGGGAAGTATTATTACTGCTTTATAAAACCCTAGTGAGACCACACCTGGAATACTGCAACCAATTTTGGTCATCATACTACAAAAAAGATGTTGAGACCTCGGAAAAAGTTCAGAGAAGAGCAACTAAGATGATCAAAAGCCTGGAGACTAAAACATACGAAAAACGGCTGCTTGGGTTTGGCCAGTCTAAAGAAAAGAACAAATAGGGGTGACATGATAGCAGCATTCCAGCATTTGAGGGGCTTCCACAAAGAAGAGGGGGCCACATTATTCACCAAAGCACCAGAGAGAAGGATAAGAAACAATGGTTGGAAACTGATCAAAGAGAGAAGCAACCTGGAATTAAGGATAAACTTCCTAACGGAGGACAATTAACCAGGGGAACTGCTTGCCTCCAGAAATCGTGGGCGCTCCGTCACTGGAGCTTTTTAAGAAGAGACTGGACAACTACTTGTCTCAAGTTGTGTAGGGTCTCCTGCTTGAGAAGAGACTGCAAGCTCCCTTCCAGATCTATTCAGAATTGGAATTTGAATTTGCCTTCATTAATAACCAATGTCGGCTCTGAACTGTTCCCCGGAACTCATTTGAGTTTCAGCACCTGAAGCATCAGGCACACATTTTCCTCCTATCTCCCCTTTGGAGGGGGCTCCTGTTGCTACCCGGGCCAGCGTGCCCTGAGACAGCCCTCCATCCCTGGGCTGGCACCCGTCTCCTTTCCTCTTCTTCCTGCAGCTGACTGGCAAAAGAATACCCCTGCTTATCCGTCAGCACATTTGCCATTTAACCCCCTCCCCGCTTCCCTGTCTACTTCCATGGGCATCTGTAGTCGCCCACCTGCTGAGACTTTGGGACAAGTGCAGAGAGGAGCAGTTAAGATGGTTAATGGCCTGGAGTCTAAAACAGGTGAAGAAAGGTTGCAAGATTTGGGTTTGGCTAGCCTAGTGAAAAGAAGAAGTAGGGGTGACATGATAGCAGCATTTCAGTATTTGAGGGGCTGCCACAAAGAAGATGGGGTCGACCTGTTTTCCAAAGCATCAGAAGGCAAGATAAAGAACAATAGATGCAAACTGATCAAAGAGAGAAGCAACCTGGAATTAAGGAGCAATTTCCTAACAGTAAGAAGATTAACCAGTGGAACCGCTGGCCTTCCGAAGTCGTGGGTGCTTCATTGCCGGAGGTTTTTAGGAAGAGATTGGACGGCCAGTTGTCTCAAATTTTATAGCGTCTCCTGCTTGAGCAGAGGCTTCGACGAGGAGACCTCCTAAGGCCCCTTCCAGTTCTATTCTGAATTTGAATTTGCCTTCACTAACAGCCAGTGTTAACCCTGAACTGTTCCCAGGAACTAATTTCGGGCGTCAGCAGCTGAAGCATCAAAACCTGGTGATGGGGGGCCAAGGACAGCATGCTTATCTTTCCCCCTCCGAGTCAGAGAACCAGTCCAAGTTGGCAATCTCATGATGGCGCCCCCAGCATTTCACTATCATGACTACGTGATGACAAGCCACCTTCAAAATAGTTTCCACAGATCTTGTCTTGCCATATCTGAAAAAGAAACCAGGATCTTCTCGTGGATGAGAAAAAGAAAACAAAAAAGAACATATACATGTGGGCAAAAGGCATTGTGGTATAAACCGAAGCTCCCTTTGGCTCAGCGGCCCAGGAGCAAAGCCTCCCCTTGGAAGATTTATGGAATATCTGTCAGGTGAGCCACACAAATATAAGGGGCCATGCTGCTAGAGAGGGGAGGGGTCTGAAGCTCTCTTGGGGGCAACCTGTAAGCAATTGGTCATTGCTGCCTGTCCAATTCCAGTCCCTGACATGCTCCAGGTGCTAAAGAGGCTGGACCTCAATTCACCTTTTTCCAGGTCGGCCATTAGTCAATTGAACAGGCAAACCATTGATGGGCTGGATGGTAAAACAAACCAAGATTATGGCATTCCCTTGAAAGGAGACCGGGAAGTCTGTAATTGGGGAGTTTGTCTGGCAAGAACAAAGAATGCTTATTCACAGGGAATATGCATGTGTAAAGCCTGTAACAATTCTGTGTGGTCAAAAAAACTGATAAGCTCAGCTAAAGGTTAGGAATAGGGATGGCCTGGAGCAAATAGGATGTGTATTAGGTAACTCTTCAAGCATTCATTAGCCAAGCCTGCTAGAGACCAATACAATAATCGTTAGATTATTATTGAAATGTTTATTAGATTATATTTCTTATATATCCCACCTTATCCTGCCTTCTGCTTTAGAGAAAATGTAGAAACCTTTATTAATTCTGTGGTTCGAATGGCCAGGATCCCTTTTCTTGGCGTGCTTCATAAAAGACAACAAAACCAGCACCTCTGTCTGGTGTTCTTCATCCACCTCAGCACCAGGCTCAGACCTGAATCGGGGACAATCCCAAACACCTTCAAGGCATTTTCTGGGCTGCAACAGATGGGGCTGGTTCTTTTTTAAACGTTCCAGTGCTAGACAGAATCTCTGCGTTTCCTGGTGGTCCCCCATCCAAGCCTAAACAAGCTTTCCTTCCCAAGTCAGCCAAGGCTGTCCAGGTACAGATTGAAAGTCACCGCCTGGAGAACGTTCCCTGGTGGACGCTGCTCAGGTGGGTCCCTGCAATAAGCCTCAGTGGCAAGGAAAGCCATATGCACGGCCTGCTCAGTTTGGCTGGACTTACACCGGGTTAAATTGGCGTGCACCGAGCCTGTTGAACCACGCCAGGGATCTGAATGTGCAAAGCCAAAAGTGGGGAAGCAGGTTGTGTGAACAGGGCCGAGGGTACCACTGCATCTTCCTTTAGGATGTTCTAGGCCAGAGGTGGGGAACGATGGCCCTTTTATGACTGTGGACTTCAAGTCCCAGAATTCAACCAGCATAGACACTATTTGGATGGCTCAGGATTTCTGGGAGTTGAAGTTCACAAGTCATGAAAAGGCCATCGTTATAATTTAGGCAATCCCTTTTCCCGCCTATCGCCTGCAGAGGGCACCTCGCTCTGTTCTGCCAGCTGCAAAGAATGCGACAGCGCGCTGTTACTTTTGCTTCTGCCTGCTGCAAAGATGGCGCCCACAGCTTCCAGCGCTTCTGCCCGGCACAAACATGGCACTCTCCAGCTCTTCTCCTCGTAGGTTTTTCCCCTATCCAGAGGCACGATCCATCCCGTGTGAATGCAACGTACACGTGAGCAGCAACTGATATTGCGTCGCGGCCTTTGCAGGCCCTCCTGCTGCTGCCTTGTTCAGGGCTTGAGGGCGCTGAGCTGAGGTCGGGGACGATAAAGGCCGAGCCACTTGCATTGCCCCCCCCCCAGGGCATCCCTCTAGCTCCGGACCCCACGACCCCCAGCCCCCTCCTCGCACCTGCCAAGGAACCAGCAACAAGGGGCGCTTTGAAGGAGCCCACTGCCGTCTTTACTCCGGGAAGCGCCCTTAAAGTACATCCAAGCAGCAATTCCACTACCTGGAAATTGGAAAGTTTCTCCAGAACATTCCAGTAGCAGCTTCTGGATCTCAAGATGAAATATCACCAATCAGAAGAAATCGTGATACGACTTTGTGAAATTGAATACACTGCTACTCATAAGATTATGTACCCCTTGAAAAGTGTGTAAAGTTATTCAAATTCAACTATTAGGCATGACAGAACAGCAGAATCATTAAACAGAGAGTAGCAATAAAGGGAAGAGTAAAATGGTGGTGTCCGTAAGTTTACTTACTCTTGAGTGTTTTGGATGAGAATACATTACACACTCATGTTGACACACAAAGGATGAGATGACAATGAAGGGTAAGTGTTCACACCTTTCAAATTCCAGACATTTGTTTTTTTTCTCCAGTGTGGATCCTTTGATTACACAGAGTTCCTGCCCTGTTGAACCTCCTTCCACATTTCAGGCATTCATAGGGTTTCTCCTATGTGAATTCTTTGATGTTTACGGAGACCTCCACTTTCTGTAAAGCTCTTTCCACACTGGAGGCATTTAAGAGGTTTCTCTCCTGAATGGATTCTTTGATGTACATAAAGGTTGTTCCTCTGACTCAACCGCTTTCCACACTCCAGGCATTTATGCTGTTTCTCTCCTGAGTGGATTCTTTGATGAACATAAAGGCTGAACTTCCGACTGAAGCTCTTTCCACACTCCAGGCATTTATACGGTTTTTCTCCTGAGTGGATCTTTTGATGTCTATAAAGGGTGCTCCTGCGACTGAAGCTCTTTCCACATTCCAGGCATTTATGCTGTGTCTCTCCTGAATGTTTCCTTTTATGTACATAAAGGTTGCTCTTCTGATTGAAGCTCTTTCCACACTCCAGGCATTCAAATGGTGTCTCTCCTGAATGGATTCTTTGATGTCGATAAAGGTTGCTCCTCTGATTGAAGCCTCTTCCACACTCCAGACATTGATAAGGGTTCTGTCCTGTGTGGATTCTTAGATGGCTTTCAAGATTTCCATCTGATCTGAAGGATTTTTCACATTCCAGGCATTTATGTGGTTTTTCTCGTGAGTGGATCCTTTGATGTCTATAAAGGTTTCCACTCCGACTGAAGCTCTTTCCACACTCTAGGCATTTATGTGGTTTTTCTCCTGAGTGGATTCTTTGATGGATTTTAAGATCTGCTTTTCTTTTGAAGGATTTTCCACATTCCGGGCACTGATGTTTCTCTCCTCCCTCCTGGATTCTCTGGGGATTCCCGGGTCTTCCGCCTCTTCTGAAGGACCCTCCGCCCTCCAGGCCCGTCTCGGGGTCTCCGCCCGTTTCCTGCTCCCCGCTTCTCCCTCCGGGCGGCCTCCTTTCCCGGAGTCCCCCTCGGCTCATCCCTGCCGGGCCTTCCCCGCCGTCTCCTCCCGGGGCTGCTCCGTGGGGCCTCCTCTCCTCTCGGGGGGCGCCTCCTTCCTTCCTTCCTTCCTCCGCCGGGCTCGCCCGTCCTCCTGCAGGGGCGAAGGGGGGGAGGAGAGGCGGCTCACGGCTTCGTCCCTTCCCGGAGGGGAGTCCCAGGCCCGCCCGGGGAGGAAGGCCGAAGCCTCGGCCTCTCCGTGGGACTTTCCGGGCAGGCCTCCCTCCCAGCGCCCGTCCCGCCAGACCAGGCCTCGGCCTCCCCCCTCCCCCTCCCTCCGCCAGAGCGCCTCTCGGACTGCCACTCCCAGCATCCCTTGCGCCCCACCTGGATCCGAGCCCGTCCGCGGCAGAGTCAATAGGGCGCCTCAGTTTCGTTTCATCCCGGAAGTGGAGGCGGGACTTCTCTGCGCGGCCTTTTCCTGGATGTTCTTCCTCTTTCGGTCGAAGGGACCGCCCCTAGGAGTCCTCCTGCCAATCGCCGCCCTCGCCAGAGAGACCAATCGGCGTCCTCCTTCGCTCCACGAGCCAGATGGCGCCTGCGCAGTATCGAATGTTGTCTCCGTCCGGCGAGGGGGTGGGACGAGGGGCCCCTTGACCTTTGGGGTCCCGTCTCCCCCCCCCGCCCGCATCCAGGCAGGCGGAGCTGAGGGACTTCCGGGGTTGCGTCTCCGCCCCTCCCTCCCCCCCGATCCTGGGGTCCCTTCCCTCCTCCCCCTTCCGGGGTCTCCGGCCAGGCTCTCCCCGCGGCCCCCAGGCAGCCCCTCCGATCCCTGCCCCCCCCCGCTCCTCTGCGCCCCCCCGGAGCCCCTCCTCGCACGGGGGGGAGGGGGCGAGGGGGTCCCAGGCCGGGCTGGATTGGGAGGATTTCTGTTCCCGCCTTTCCTGTTTGGAAAGGATTCTCCCCCCCCCCGTTCTGCCCAGCCAGAGGGGGAGGGGGAGGGGAGACCCTTCCCAGCCTCTCTCGGGGGGGGGCTTTGGACTGGGGGAGATTGGGGGAGCCCTGTAACCTCCAAGGCTGCCCCCCCTTTTGAGGCCTTGCCTTGAGAGGAGGGTCCCTCCAGCCCCCCCCCCCCCCCGAGGGTGGCAGGGGTGCCTCTTCCATCGCAGGCCGGAGAGATGGAGGCTTCTACGCAGGATCTGGGCCCTTCCTGGCAGCACCTTCCTCTGGGGAGAGGGAGCTGGGAGTCGGTTCCTGGGGTCCCCTGGAGCCCCTCGGCCAGCTTGGGACCCCCAGCCCTGAGTGATGGGACTGGGACTACAGGCGGTCCTCCCCTTACGACCCGCCTTGAGGCCAACGTTTGTCTTTTTAAGTGAGAAATTTGTGAGTTTTGCCCCATTTTATGACTTTTCCTGCCATATTTGTTAAGTGAATCCCTGAAGTTGTTAAATTACTAACATGGTTGTCAAGTGAATCTGGTTTCCCCATTGACTTTGCTTGTAAATCACACGACCGTAGGGATGCTGCAATGGTCATAAGTGTGAAAAGTGGTCGTAAGTCACTTCTTTCAGTGCCATTCTAATTTCAAAGGGTCACTAAATGATCTCTTGTAACTCGAGGACTGGCTGTACTTCCACACAAAGTAAAACCAATCTTTTACTTTTGCAATATTTTTTATGCTTTTTCATAACCATACTGTCTTCCGCTATTCCAGGGCAGGAGATTCTTCAGTGGGGTGAGATGCTCCGTTTGGATTCAGCAGTTCCCCCATTTATCTCCCGAGTTTGCAAGACGTTAGCAGACCGAATATAACTTTAGGGTGATCCAAAAATACAAACGGTGTCATTTTCTTTCCTTGAAAAGCCAGACCGTGTCCACGAGGGGGAAGTTTGGGGACTGAGCTGAAATGCTGGCTGGGAACAGTTATGACCGTTGAGCATTTTCTACCCAATTGGGCTAGTTTTGGAGATGGATTGCAGGACAGTTTTGACCTCGGTGGGTTCCAGTTTGGGGGCTATTATGGGCTATTTTTAAAGGGCTGTAGAGAGAGTCCTTGACTGACCACCATTTGTTTAGTGATTGAAGTTACCGCAGATCTGAAAAAAGTGACATATAATCAGTTTGCACAATTCTGAGCGTTGCAGGTCATGCAATCAAAATTCAGGCACCTGGCGTGGATTCCTGACAGTCGCACAGTGCCAGGCTCACCTGTTCACCCTTCTAACCTCCGCAGCTGGCGTCCGACAAGCAAAGTCAGCGGAGGAAGCCACATTCACTTAACAACGGTGTGATTCACTTAGCAGCTGCACTAATTGGCTTAACAACTGGGGGAGATGACTAACAACAGTGGCAAAAAGCGTAGTAAAATGGAGTGAAACTCACTTTGGCAAAAAGCGTAGTAAAATGGAGTGAAACTCACTTTGGCAAAAAGCATAGTAAAATGGAGTGAAACTCACTTAGCGGTCAGCAACAGAAACCTTTGGCTCAATTGTGGTCATAGGTGTACAGTTTGGGGTCAATATATCAATCTATCATGAACAATAACTGAAAAATACATCATGGGTAGCAAACAGGGTTGGGTCAGTCAGCCCCCTCCCCTCTAGCTGCATCACCAGCCCCTCCCTCCCCGATCCAGCATCTCTCTCTCCCCTTCTCTCCCAAGGCACCCTTTGCAAAACTGCAGCTGAGGGGGAGAATTCCCTGCAAAGCCTCTCCCCTTAATACTTGGATTTTTCAACCTAGACGTAGCCCTCCAACCCTGAGCTGGCACCTGTCTCATTTCCTCTTCTTCCTGCAGCTGACTGGCAAAACAATGCAGCTGCTTATCTGCCAGCACATTTGCAAGTTAACTCTCCCCCCCTCCACTTACCTGTCCACTTCCATGGGCATCTGTAATCACCCACCTGCTGAAACTTTGGGAACAATGCAGAGAAGAGCAGCTAGGATGTTTAAAGTATGAAGAACATTTGCAGGATTTGGCTTTGGCCAGTCTAGAGAAAAAGAGGACTAGGAGTGATGTGATATAGCCGTATTTCAGAGACTGCCACAAAGAGGAGGGGGTCAGTTTATTTTCCCAAGATACAACAATAGTAGCCCTTATTCAAGATGACAATGAGGTTCTTACCCCAAGGAGGTTGACAGCTTGACAGCTCCGGACCCCACGACCCCCAGCCCCCCCTGCCAAGGAACCAGCAACGAGGGGCGCTTTGAAGGAGCCCACTGCTGTCTTTACTGCGGGAAGCGCCCTGGCCTTTCCCGGCCCTTAAAGTACATCCGAGTAGCAATTCCACTACCTGCCAGCAGGGCTGTGGTCCAAGTCCAGTCTTCCTTACTTCCTGCTTGAGTTCCAGCCGGCCTCTCAGCTGCCCCTTTTCTGGGCAATCCTGGCTGCAGCTGAAACCCTTCCTGAAGGAGAAGAAAGAGGCAGAACCTGTCCTCTCCTAAGAATGCAGATCAGGTCCATGAAATAGAGACCGAGAATTCTTCCCGCGGGTTCTGCTTTGCTCAACCTGCATCGTAAATATTGTGCCCGGTTTGAGCCCCTCAAATTCTGTGCAGGAGAGTCAGAGAGGATATGGTGAATGATCAAATCTTCCCATGGGAAGATTTGGGGTACCTTTTTATCAAATAATTTCAATTTACTGTGAAATCAGTTGAAATTGATACAATTAAATAGCATTGACAGGTCCTTGCATAATGCATTGGGTGTAAATTTGATTTATGACTAACATTCTTCTAAATAAAACAAAATGGCATAGACAAAATCATTGCATGTATTCTTTGTAGCTTTTAAACCTACTGTAAGGACCCACCCCACTTTGCATCTTAAGAAGACAGAACTCTTGGAATAATTCTTCCAACAGGAATCCTTTATTAAGAAGTGGTTGCAGGCATGCTAGACAGGACTTGGTGTCCAAGCTCTCCCATTCAAGGTTTTAAGGGGTTCCCCAGCAGTCCCACCCAATCACCCCCCCCTTCCAGTGATAGTTTCAGGCATCACAATTCCACCCCTTTGTTTCTTTCTTCCTTCTGGATGGAGACTTCAGATAAACTACATGAAAGGTAAATAGTTCTCTTTGTTATGGTAAGGTTCTTTGGTGCTAGTTACATTCAAAGTCTTTGAGGTTGCAATAAACACATTCAACTCCTTAGAAGTATACTGAAGGAAGTGAGGGCCATAAAGCCCCTTTGTTCTCCCCCTTCTCTCCCTCTTATGGCAGAATCCAGAGAAGGCAGAATTGGGGTTTTCTATATTTGATGATTAAAGATGAAATATAATTGGATTCTGACACCTACATTTGAGAGAAATCTTGATGAATGTGGAGAATACAGTAGAAAAGGATGTTGTTTTTTCTCATTCAGCATTTGTATGAAAGGTGCTAACCAACCTGGTACTGTTCAGGGCTGTATTTAGACCTCCACCCTCTTTAAGTAGCACCTCCACTCCTTGACAGCTCATCTGACCCTCTCCTGCTTACACTTGCCTCAATCCCTGGGCCCTACTTCTCCTCGTCTATGCTGAGGATCTGGATCGTATCTCACAAAGCTTTGTTGGTCTTAGAGAATCTCCTGTTTTTGCTAAGAAGCTTTCAAGACAAGGGGACCATTGAGAGCGTCCGATGTACAAGAGTTTCAGATATCTGGGGATGGTCTTAGATGGCACTGACCTTTGGAAAACCCAATTAGATTATATCAAAGAATGACAGGGAGGAGCTCGGTCACATCCCCAACAATGAAGGCCAAATTAGCCCCAGTGTCAGGTCCTGCCAGTTCCTACTATCTCATTAATAACCAAGAGTGCAGTTTCTTCTCTGTGTGGAAGGAGGGAGTGGGCCAAAAGGTACAGAAGGGACGAGAGTCTTATTTCAAGGGAAGAATTAACCCAGGACAGAGCGCTCTGATTTCCAGGCCCATGGAAGGAACCGTGGGGACAATGGAAATTGGAAAGTTTCTCCAGAACATTCCAATAGCAGCTTCTGGATCTCAAGATGAAATCTCACCAATCAGAAGAAATTGTGATACGAGTTTGTGGAATTGAATACACGTGTACTCATAAGATTATGTACCCCTTGAAAAGTGTAAAATTATTCAAATTCAACTATTAGGCATGACAGAACAGCAGAATCATTAAACAGAGAGTAGCAATAAAGGGAAGAGTAAAATGGTGGTGTCTGTAAGTTTACTTACTCTTGAGTGTTTTGGATGAGAATACACTCATGTTGACACACAAAGGATGAGATGACAATGAAGGGTAAGTGTTCATACCTTTCAAATTCCAGACATTTGGTTTTTTCTCCTGTGTGGATCCTTTGATTATACAGAGTTCCTGCCCTGTTGAAGCTCCTTCCACATTCCAGGTATTCATAGGGTTTCTCCTTTGTGAATTCTTTGATGTTTACGGAGACTTCCACTTTCAGTAAAGCTCTTTCCACACTGGAAGCATTTATACGGTTTTTCTCCTGAGTGGATCCTTTGATGTACATAAAGGCTGCTACTCTGACTGAAGCTATTTCCACACTCCAGGCATTTATGCGGTTTCTCTCCTGAGTGGATCCTTTGATGTGTATAAAGGTGTCCCCTTTGATCGAAGCTTCTTCCACACTCCAGACATTTATAAGGGTTCTGTCCTGTGTGGATTCTTAGATGGCTTTCAAGATTTTCATCTGATCTGAAGGATTTTTCACATTCCAGGCATTTATGTGGTTTTTCTCCTGAGTGGATCCTTTGATGTACATAAAGGTGTCCCCTCTGACTGAAACTCTTTCCACACTCCAGGCATTTATGCGGTTTTTCTCCTGTGTGGATCCTTTGATGCCTTTCAAGATGGTGATTTCTTTTGAAGGATTTTCCACATTCCGGGCACTGATATTTCTTTCCTGCCTCCTGGATTCTTTGGGGATTCCTGAGTCTTCCCTCTGTTCTCCTCTCTCTGAAGTTCTTTCCACACGTCAGGCGTTTATTCCATTTCTTGCCTAAGTGGATGCTTTGATGTACATAAAGGTTTCCCCTCAGACTGAAGCTCTTTCCACACTCCAGGCATTTATGCGGTTTTTCTCCTGAGTGGATCCTTTGATGTACATAAAGGTTCCCCCTCTGACTGAAACTCTTTCCACACTCCAGGCATTTATGCGGTTTTTCTCCTGAGTGGATCCTTTGATGGGTATAAAGGTGTCCCCTCCGACTGAAACTCTTTCCACACTCCAGGCATTTATGCGGTTTCTCTCCAGTGTGGATCCTTTGATGGGTATAAAGGTGTCCCCTCTGACTGAAGCATTTTCCACACTCCAGACATTTATGTGGTTTCTCTCCTGTGTGGATTCTTTGATGGATTTTAAGATCTGCATTTCTTTTGAAGGATCTTCCACATTCCGGGCACTGATATTTCTCTCCTCCCTCCTGGATTCTCTGGGGATTCCCGGGTCTTCCGCCTGTCCCGAAGGACCCTCCGCCCTCAAGGACCGTCTCGGGGTCTCCGCCCGTTTCCTGCTCCCCGCTTCTCCCTTCGGGCGGCCTCCTTTCCCGGAGTCCCCCTCGGCTCATCCCTGCCGGGCCTTCCCCGCCGTCTCCTCCCGGGGCTGCTCCGCGGGGCCTCCTCTCCTCTCGGGCGGCGCCTCCTTCCTTCCTGCCTTCCTTCCTCCGCCGGGCTCGCCCGTCCTCCTGCAGGGGCGAAGGGGGGGAGGAGAGGCGGCTCACGGCTTCGTCCCTTCCCGGAGGGGAGTCCCAGGCCCGCCCGGGGAGGAAGGCCGAAGCCTCGGCCTCTCCATGGGACTTTCCGGGCAGGCCTCCCTCCCAGCGCCCGTCCCGCCAGACCAGGCCTCGGCCTCCCCCCTCCCCCCTCCCTCCGCAAGAGAGCCCCTCGGACTGCCACTCCCAGCATCCCTTGCGCCCCACCTGGATCCGAGCCCGTCCGCGGCAGAGTCAATATGGCGCCTCAGTTTCGTTTCATCCCGGAAGTGGAGGCGGGACTTCGCTGCGTGGCCTTTTCCTGGATGCTCTTCCTCTTTCGCTCGAAGGGACCGCCCCCAGGAGTCTTCCTGCCAATCGCCGCCCTCGCCAGAGCGACCAATCGGCGTCCTCCTTCCCTCCAGGAGCCAGATGGCGCCTGCGCAGTAGCGAATGTTGTCTCCGTGCGGCGAGGGCTCCTTTGGGGTCCTTTCTTTCCCCCTCCGTCCCGCATCCAGGCAGGCGGAGCTGAGGGACTTCCGGGGCTGCGTCTCCGCCCCTCCCTCCCCCCCGATCCTGGGGTCTCCTCCCCCCTCCCCCTCCCGGGGGCTCCGGCCAGGCTCCCCCCGCGGCCCCCAGGCAGCCCCTCCCGCCTCTCAGGGCCGATCCCTGCCCCCCCCGCTCCCCTGCGCCCCCCCGGAGCCCCTCCTCGCACGGGGGGGGGAGGGGGCGAGGGGGTCCCAGGCCGGGCTGGATTGGGAGGATTTCTGTTCCCGCCTTTCCTGTTTGGAAAGGTTGCTCCCCCCCCCGTTCTGCCCAGCCAGAGAGGGAGGGGGAGGGGGGGAGGGAGACCCTTCCCAGCCTCCCTCGGGGGGCTTCGGACTGGGGGAGGTTGGGGGAGCCCTGTAACCTCCAAGGCTGCCCCCCCTTTTGAGGCCTTGCCTTGAGAGGAGGGTCCCTCCAGCCCCCCCCCCCCCCCGAGGGTGGCAGGGGTGCCTCTTCCATCGCAGGCCGGAGAGATGGAGGCTTCTACGCAGGATCTGGGCCCTTCCTGGCAGCACCTTCCTCTGGGGAGAGGGAGCTGGGAGTCGGTTCCTGGGGTCCCCTGGAGCCCCTCGGCCAGCTTGGGACCCCCAGCCCTGAGTGATGGGACTGGGACTACTTCCACACACAGTAAAATCCATCTTTTACTTTTGCAATATTTTTATGCTTTTTCATACACCTAACTCCACATTCCCGTCTTTGAGCCTAATAAAGGTTTGATTAAAAAGCAGTTGAGTATTTCCAGGGCAGGAGATTCCTCAGTGGGGTGAGATGCTCAGTTTGGATTCAGCAGTTCCCACTTTTATCTCCCGAATTTGCAAGACTTTAACAGACCGAATATAACTTTAGGGTGATCCAAAAATACAAATGGTGTCATTTTCTTTCCTTGAAAAGCCAGACCGTGTCCACGAGGGGGAAGTTTGGGGACTGAGTTGAAATGCTGGCTGGCCGTTGAGCAATTTTTCTACCCAGTTGGGCTAGTTTTGGAGATGGGTTGCAGGACAACTTTGACCTTGGTAGTTTCCCTATTTTTAGGGAGTCCTTGACTTGCAGCCATTTGTTTAGTGATTGAAGTTACAGCAGCTCTGAAAAAAAGTGACATATGATTACTTTGCACAATTCTGAGCATTCCATGGTCATGCAATCAAAATTCAGGCAATTAGCATGGATTCCTGATAGTCGAACAGTGCCCGGCTCACGTGTTCACCCTCATAACCTCCTCAGCTAGCGTCAGACAAGCAAAGTCAGCAGACAAAGGCACATTCACTTAACAACGGTGTGATTCACTTAGCAGCTGCACTAATTGGCTTAAAAACTGGGGGAGGTGACCTGAAAACTATAGCAAAAAAGGTAGTAAAATAGATTGAAAGTCACTTAACAACGGCTAGCAACATAAACCTTTGGCTCAATTCTGGTCATAGGTGTACAGTTTGGGGTCAATATATCAATCTGTCATGAACAATAACTGCAAAATACGGGTAGCAAACAGGGTTGGGTCAGTCAGCCTCCTCCCCTCTAGCTGCATCACCAGCCCCTCCCTCCCCAGATCCAGCATCTCCTCTCTCCCCCCTTCTCTCCCAAGGCCCCCTTGCAAAACTGTAGCTGGGGGGAGGGGAAATCCCCTGCAACGCCTCTCCCCTTAATATGTGGATTTTACAACCTGTGAACACAGGCACACACTTTTCTCCTATCTACCCTTTGGAATGGGCTCCTGTTGCTCCCCGGGCCAGCGTGGCCTGAGACAGCCCTCCATCCCTGGGCTGTTTCCTCTCTCCCCCCTTCTCTCCCAAGGCCCCCTTTGCAAAACTGCAGCTGAGGGGGAGAATCCCCTGCAACGCCTCTCCCCTTAATACTTGGATTTTTCAACCTAGACGTAGCCCTCCAACCCTGAGCTGGCACCTGTCTCATTTCCTCTTCTTCCTGCAACTGACTGGCAAAACAATGCACCTGCTTATCTGCCAGCACATTTGCAAGTTAACTCCTCTGCCTCCACTTACCTGTCCACTTCCATGAGCATCTGTAATCGCCCACCTGCTTAGACTTTCGGAAAAGTGCAAAGAAGAGCAACTAAGATGTTTAAAGTATGAAGAACGGTTGCAGGATTTGGGTTTGGCCAGTCTAGAGAAAAGGAGAACTAGGGGTGATATGATAGCCGTATTCCAGTATTTCAGAGGCTGCCACAAAGAGGAGGGGGTCAGTTTATTTTCCCAAGATACAACAATAGTAGCCCTTATTCAAGATGACAATGAGGTGCTTACCCCAAGGAGGTTGACAATTTGGTGAACTGGTGTAAGAAAAACAGCCTAATTTTAATCACTGGAAAAACCGGAGAGATCATTGTCGATTTCAGAAAAGGCAGGCACAGCCCACACTTCTCTGTGCATTAATGATTCCCCTGTGGAGATGGTCACCAGGATGAAATTCCTGGGTGTGCAGCTAATGAGTAGACTAGCCTGGCCACTCAACAGTGAGACGCTGGTGAAGCAGGCACAGCAGTGACTGCCTTTTCTGCATCACATGAGAAAAGCACATCTCCCTTCCCCTGTCCTGACCATTTTCTACAGAGGGACGATCGAGAGCAGCCTCTCGTACAGCATCACAGTCTGGTTTGGAAGCATCCCTGCTTCAGACAGGAAGGCGATGCAGGGAGTGGTGAAGATGGCAGAACAGATTATTGGCAGTTCACTCCCTTCTATCCAAGACATGGCATGTAAGCATTGCTTGAGTAGGGTCCGTAAGATTGTCTGGGACGCCACACATCCTCTGCACAACTGTTTATCTTGTTACCTTCTGGGAGGAGGCTTGGTGGTATCTGTAGGAGAACATCCAGGTTTAATCACAGTTTTGTTCCATACAATATGAGTCTTTCTATTATGTATTCAAGATGGACAGTGATTAATATTTGTATGTTATTTATATGTAAGGGTGCAGGTTTATACATATGCTGTATATAGCATGTTTAAATGTGTGTTATGTATATGTACACTTTGAGGGCAGGTGTACCATTGTGCCCACAGTGTTGGTTATGTGAATGAACCAATTATCTCCCAGTTAATTTTCAGGTTTGTAGCCTCAATGTAAGAGACGACCAGGCTGGGCCCGAGGGTGGGGTCAAATGCCTCATTAGTTTGGAGTCTCCACACCAGTGTTTCCCAAACTTGACAATTTTAAGGCATGTGGACTTCAACTCCCAGAATTCCACAGCCAGCATTGCTGGCTGTGGAATTCTGGGAGTTGAAGTCCACATGCCTTAAAATTGTCAAGTTTGGGAAACACTGCTCTACACCTCCATAACAGACCTAAGTCCATCCCTCCTCCCCCCTTGAAGTCTTCACCTTGACCATTTAGGCAGGAAAAAAAATGAAATACAGATTAGGGGGGACCTGGCTTAAAAACAGTAACTGTGAGAAGGACCTTGGAGTCGTACTGAACGATCACTTCACCATGAGCCAGCAGTGTACAGCAGCAGCAGCCAAAAAAGCTAATACAATCCTGGGTTACATAAACAGAGGCATAGAATCAAGATCAAGGGAAGTATTACTACTGCTTTATAAAACCCTAGTGAGACCACACCTGGAATACTGCAACCAATTTTGGTCCTCATACTACAAAAAAACATGTTGAGACCTTGGAAAAAGTTCAGAGAAGAGCAACTAAGATGATCAAAGGCCTGGAGACTAAAACATACGAAAAAAAAAGCTGCAGCAATTGGATTTGGGTAGTCTAAAGAAAAGAAATAGGGGTGACATGATAGCAGTACTCCATGGGATCTAGCACCCACATTCACACGTGCTAAGTGTGGCAGTGTTGAGAAGGGCTGGATTTCCGGGGCTTTGCCTGTCGTCCAAGTCCAGCCTTCCTTACTTCCTGCTTGAGTTCCAGCCGGCCTCTCAGCTGCCCCTTTTCTGGGCAATCCTGGCTGCAGCTGAAACCCATCCTGAAGGAGAAGGAGGAGCCAGAACCTCTCCTAAGAATGCAGATCAGGCCCATGAAACAGAGACCAAGATTCTTCCGGCCGGTTCTGCTTTGCTCAACCTGCATTGTAAATATTGTGTCCGGTTTGGGCCCTCAAATTCTCTGCAGGAGAGTCAGAGAAGGACACGGTAAATGATCGAATCCTCCCCTTGCAGCAAAAAGTATTTAAAGGTACCCTTTTATCAAATAATTTCAATTTACTGTGAAATCCGCTGAAACTGATTCAATTAAAGAGTGTGGACAGTTCCTTGCATAATACATTGGATGTAAATTTTGATTTATGACTTTCTTCTAAATAAAAAAAATAACATGGAAAATCAGCTGCTTCCTTTGACCAGGCAGCTTAGGAGGAACGAGAGCTTTGAATTTGGAAGCTTGGTTAGGTCAGCCAGGCTGTTGCTCGGAAGCTGCAGAGCAGGTGGGTGGAACTGGTTTCCTGGGGAAAGAAGGAACTTTTCCAGGGGCTTCCAGCTGTGTGTGTGTGTGTGTGTGTGTGTGTGTGTGTGGAGAGCACTCTTGCATTTGTCTATATGAAAAAAGGAAAAAAAACTCGGAGGACTGGAATACACCACCAGTGTTCCAAGTACGGCTCTCACCTGGCACTTGATAGAAGACAGCGGCAATTGGAGAACAGCATTTCTCTGGCACGGAAAACGTCTTTTCTGCCTAGGAATTTATTATAATTTATGCAAGTAACTTTAGGCAAACAAAGCTATTCTTGGCCAGGAAGCCACAGATGGGGACTCTGGAGCTATTTATCCCACATCAGCCACCCAGCCGGCCCCTGCTTTCCGGCCCCCATGGTCCAAGGGCGCGCTTTGAAGGACCCAACTGCCATCCTTACTGTGGGAGCTGCCAAAGCCTTCTGGGTTCTCGAGATGGAATTAGATCAGGGCAGCAGCTCTACTAATGGCCATCAGGGGGCAGCAAAGGACAGGACTTTGCACCATCTGCTGGCCCTCCCGGAGATTATCAGCCCCAGGTTTTCTCTGCAGGGCCACTCCTAGCCTGCCTTCCTCCAAGGAGGTGGAGCACCGGCTCTTCCCAGATTAGAGCCTCACAACCACCTGCCCAGGTAGTCTGGCCAACATGCTGTGGAGCAGGGGTGTCAAACTCAATTTCATTGAGGGCTGCATTAGCATTGTGGTTGACCTTGGGGGGGGGGGCAGGAGGTGTGGCTAAGGTGGGATAGTGGGGTGGGTGTGGCCACCTCAACATTGCACATGTTGGAGGGGGTGCCTATGGGGGCCCAGGCAGGGCTAGGGGGGGAATCCACTGTGTCCAGATGAGGAAGACGTGGGCGAGCACTATACCCTTGTCCACCAGAGGAGCCTCGCTGTCCCTCTCAGGCCATGCAGAGGACCCCCCCCCCCGTGATGCCAGCTGCTGGGGGGGGCACCTGGCTGCACTTACCTCAAGGCTGCTGCTGATTGGCTCGCTCTCCTTGGCAATTTGACAGGAGACCACCAGGAGCGGCCAGGAGGAGGGGGCAAGGGGATGGTGAAAGGGCAGCATGGCTGCTTGTGGTGAAGTGCTAAGGCAGGACTTCCTCCCTTATAATCTGCCTCCCTTCCCCCTTTTCTTCTTTTTCCTTCCCCTTCCCTTCTTTGTCTTTCCTCCTTCCCTTTCTCCTTCCCTGCCCCTTCTTGGATGCTCAAATGCGAAAGGGGAAACATTGCTCTAGGCCTTCTTGCCTCGTGATCAAAGGCCCCTTTGGCTAGTAGTCTGTGGCCACTTAAAAGACAGAGAACAAACCAGGCCCAGTTTATCCCATGCTTGCATTTAGTGGGGACGTGCACAGACAACACTACAGCAAAACTGTCAAAATGGTGGCTGTGACAGTTGATCAGAGCGCCTCCGTTTTTTATGTGCAACAGCTTTAGCAGCAGTTCTCAACCTATGGGTCGCGACCCCATTTGGGGTCGATCGACCATTTTTCGGGGGTCACCAAAGGTGGCGATCCGCCATTTTTCGCGGCGCTGTGCACGCGCGCCGCGCACGGGGGGCACCGCCGTGCACATGCGTCGCACATGGGGGCGGTGCCATGCACGCGTGTTGCGCGTAGGGGGCCGTCGTGCATGCGCGTCGCACATGGGGGCTCCGCGCATGCGCACCGCGCAGGACGTTTGTGTGACGGGGATCGCCGTCACACAAACGTTGAGAAGCACTGGCTTTAGCATTTAGAAACAGAGGTAAGTTAGTTGCTTTCCTTCCTTCTTCCTCCCTCCCTTTTTCCCTCCCTCCCTCCATTCTTCCTCTCTCCGTTCCTTCCTTCCTTCTCATCTCTTTCCTTCCTCCGCACTCAGGAAGGGGTGATAGGAGGGGGGGGGAGATTGCCAGTGCTGTCGGTCTCCATGCTGCCGCTGGCTGTCGCTATCCCTCACGGGTGGACAGGGCTAGTCCTGGTGAAAGGGAAGCCTCATGGCTGCAAGGCTAGGGCAGCGAGGGAGCCATGGGGGTGGGTGGGCGGTGGGGCTGATCTCCAACCTGGTTGCGTCCATCAAAGCCAGAATGTGCTCAGCCTTCGATCCACAGGGCAGCTCTGGAACCAGTGAGGAGTCACCCCACCACCAGGGTGTGCACCCTGGGTGAAATCAGCCTGCAGGGCAACAAAGCTAGCAGGGACACCAGACTCCGCTTGCGTGTGCGCCCAGGGGACGGGGCATGAGTGCATGTTACTGGTTCCAGGGCTGCCTGTGGATCTAAGGCTGAGCACGTTCTGGCTTTGACGGCTGGCACCAGGTTGTAGATCAGTGTCTGGTTGGTTTGGGCTGCTCCTTTGCTGTTCCAGAGCAGGTCCCCGGACAGACGGATAACATGGCGGGCTGGATGTGGCCTGCGGGCCTTGTGTTTGAGATCTCTGCTCTAGAGCTTGAGACATCCTGGCCTGCCCAGTACGTTTTGATTCGATTCACACAACACTCTCTCCATGGGATCTGACACCACATTCACATTTGCTAAGCGGGGCAGTATTGAGAAAGAGCCGAGGTGGCGCAGCAGTTAAAGTACAGTACTGCAGGCCACTGTAGCTGACTGTGTTCAGCAGATCAGTGGTTCAAATCTCACCGGCTCAAGGTTGACTCAGCCTTCCATCCTTCCGGGGTAGGTAAAATGAGGACCCAGATTGTTGGGGGCAATGTAAATATATATATATATATATATATATATATATATATATATATATATATATATATATATATATATATATATATATATATATATATATATATATATATATATATGTAGGTATTTGGTTTTGGTTCGGGTTTTCTCCCGCGTAAAATTGGAAGTGTCTTGGCAACGTTTCGACGAAGTCACATTCGTCATCTTCAGGCTGGTGTTTTTAGCTTCTTGCTTTGAGCAGCAATGTGTGGTTTGCTGGTGCAGAGGATGTTGGTGATTTTGAGTCTGATTTTGTTAGCGTCATCGGGGTTGATTTTGGTCAGGCTGGTTTCAACTCCACATATAATGGTTTCAGTGGGGATGTGTTTGGGAGCGACTGCAAAGTTGAATCCTTTGGAAAGGACATTGGTTTCGGCTTTGGTGAGGATCCTATCTGAGATGTTATGCACTGTTTGTTTCATGTGTGGCTGTGAGGGAGGAGGGGTTTGTTTCTGGCGTTCTTGTAGTCTTCGGAGTTTGTTGGTGTGTGTATCTGTCTTGAGGGTGGTCTGTGTTTCGGCTCTCCAGACGGCGAGTTGTTTGGATTTGTCCCAAAGTGCGGGGTGGATCTTGTTGCTGAGTTTGAGGTGGAGTGTGCACCAGCAAGCCACCCAAAAGCAACTTACCCAAAGAGGAACAGACAGCACTACGTAACCTGAAAGAAGACACCAGCATAATAATCCTACCAGCAGACAAGGGCAACGCCACGGTGGTTATGAACACATCTGACTACCAAACCAAATTAACCAACCTACTCCAAGACTCCACATACAAACCCCTAAATACAGATCCCACCACCTACCTGGAAAAAACCACCAGAACCAAGATAAAAGCCTCCCCCATTAGCGAAGAGATCCAGCAAAGAATCATTCCCAGAGAGAAATCATCCAGATGCCCTAAACTCTATGGTCTCCCCAAGATACACAAAGAAGGAACCCCACTCAGACCTATAGTCAGCTCCATAGGCTCACCTCTACAAAACCTAGCCAAATTTCTCGCCAAACAACTACAGCCCTATGCAGAATCCATCACCTCACACGTAAAAAACTCATTCCAGTTTATAGAGATCATAAAGAAACAAAACTTACAGCCCAGCGACCTACTAGTGAGCTTCGATGTCATATCCCTCTTCACCCAAGTGCCTATCAAAGAAGCCTTGACAGCTATTCAAAACAAATATAACCCCCCCAAACACATCTTAGATCTGACCAACCACTGCCTATCCAACACATACTTCATCTATAATGGACAAAAATACAAACAAACAGAAGGAGCACCCATGGGATCACCCCTCTCACCTGTCATTGCCAACCTCTACATGGAACACTTTGAAACCCAAGCTCTAGAAAAATCGGATCACAAACCCAAACTCTGGCTCAGATACGTAGACGACACCTTCATAATCTGGCCACATGGGAAAGAAAAACTGGACAACTTCCTCACACACCTCAACAGCCTACACCCCAAAATACAGTTCACCATGGAAACAGAAGCTAACAACCAACTTCCCTTCCTGGATGTCTTAGTCTACAAGAAATCCAATGGCTCCCTAGGACACACCATCTACCAGAAGAAAACACACACAAACCGCTATCTGCACGCTCTCTCACACCACCACCCAGCACAGATCAACTCTGTAGCCAAGACACTCATCTCCAGAACAAAACGCTTAGCTGACGAACAACACCTAAAACCCGAACTACACACTCTCACCAATGTACTAACATCCAATGGATTCCATAGAAATAAGATTACAAACCTAATCCAAAAAGAAACCCCCACTAAAATCCAAGACAAAGAACAAGAAAACGGCAAAGCCCTCCTCCCATACATAAAAGGCACCACAGACAGAATCAGTAAGATCCTCCATAAACACAACATCAAAACAGCATTCTGCACAAACAGAAAAATATCCACCATCCTTAGAAACCCCAAAGATAAAATTGAATTAGAAAATCAAGGAGTATACGAAATCCCATGCACCACTTGTCCCACCACATACATCGGACAAACCAACAGAAGAATAAGTGCACGCATTGAAGAACATAAGAACTCAGTCAAAAAAGAGGAACCAACATCTTCCCTGGTCCAACACCTTAAAGCCACAGGACATGAAATTGACTTTAAAAATACCAGAACCATTGCCAAAAGTGAACATTTTAATAACAGAATAATCAGAGAAGCCATCGAGATAGAAAAACGCCCACACAGCATGAACAAGCGAGATGATACCTCCCGCCTACCAGCCATTTGGAAACCTGCCCTTATTGACAAACGACTCCCTAACCCCAAAATCTTAAACCCCTCTGCAACTCAGACTAACCTGAGCACAACCAAACAGAACACTCCCCCAGCCAATCAGAGCACAGCCAAGCCCCTAACCATTCAGAACACACCTCCACCCAATCAGAACACAGCCAAGCTCCCACCCAATCAGTTCATACCCCACTGGCAGTTAAAAGGAAGAAACAGCTAAAACCACACATTGCTGCTCAAAGCAAGAAGCTAAAAACACCAGCCTGAAGATGACGAATGTGACTTCGTCGAAACGTTGCCAAGACACTTCCAATTTTACGCGGGAGAAAACCCGAACAACCAAAGACCTATATATATATATATATATATATATATATATATATATATATATATATATATATATATATACACACACACACACACACACACACACACACACACACACACACACACATTGCTTACTGGTGTACACCGCTTAGAGAGTGCTTGCACAAATTAGAAGATCGTTTAAAGGCAACTTATTAATCTTACAAGGAGGTTTCTCTTAATGAAAAGATGAGCCCAGGACAAATACAGGAGAAAAAGTACAAAAGAATAGTTGTTTGGATGGAAGAAATCTTGTTACATTCAGAAACATGGACAGTAAGTGAAACATCCCATAGTAACATAACCATTTAAAACCACTGTATTAAAAGGAGAAAGTTCCCATGGGAAAAGGCATCTTGAGCCACTTAAATCTGTTGAGAAAAGATACAATTTTGGCCAGTGAAACCTCTAGCATGTACAATTGAAAAAGTCCTTTGCTATTCAGCCTGAGAGAGTCCCTTGTTTTGCAGCTAGAAAGTTACAAGCACCTGGATGCTAAGGCAGAAACCTTCTATATTACAAGGTTATCGTTATTAAAGTTACAAGAAAGTGCAACACAGAGGTCTTCACTGGAGGCAAAGGTTACGGCTGGCATAACTTGAATTGCTAAGCAGAGAGCAAAGGTAGCACTGAGGATCAGGTGGAAGACAAAAAGGAGAGAAAAGGGAGAATTGGCTCATTAATAACCAAGAGTGCAGTTTGTTCTCTGTGTGGAAGGAGGGACTGGGCCAAAAGGTACAGAAGGGGCGAGAGTCTTATTTCAAGGGAAGAATTAACCCAGGAGAGAGCGCTCTGATTTCCAGGCCCATGGAAAAGAACCGTGGGCACGATGGAAATTAGAAAGTTTCTTCAGAACATTCCAGTAGCAACTTCTGAATCTCAAAATGAAATCTCACTAATTAGAAGAAATTATGATACGAGTTTGTGGAGTTGAATACACTTGTACTCAGGAGATTACGTACCCCTTGAAAAGTGTGTAAAATTATTCAAATTCAACTATTAGGCATGACAGAACAGCAGAATCATTAAACAGAGAGTAGCAATAAAGCGAAGAGTAAAATGGTGCTGTCGGTAAGTTTACTTGCTCTTGAGTGTTTCGGATGAGAATATATTACACACTCATGTTCACACCTTCCAAACTCCAGACATAGGGTTTTTCTCCTAGATGGATCCTTTGATTATAAGTAGTTCCTGGCCTGCTGAAGCTCCTTCCACATTCCAGGCTTTCATAGGGTTTCTCCTGTGTGAATTCTTTGATGTTTATGAAGATTTCCCCTTTCAGTAAAGCTCTTTCCACACTGGAGGCATTTATGCAGTTTTTCTCCTGTGTGGATCTTTTGATGTACATAAAGGCTGCTCCTCCGACTGAAACTCTTTCCACACTGGAGGCATTTATATGGTTTTTCTCCTGTATGGATCCTTTGATGTACATAAAGGTGGCTCCTCTGACTGAAACTCTTTCCACACTCCAGGCATTTATGCATTTTTTCTCCTGTATGGATCCTTTGATGTACATAAAGCTTGCTCCTCTGACGGAAACTCTTTCCACACTCCAGGCATTTATGCAGTTTTTCTCCTGTGTGGATTCTTTGATGAATATTAAAGGTGGTCCTATGACTAAAGCTCTGTCCACACTCAAAGCACTCATAAGGTTTCTCTCCAGTGTGGATCCTTTGATGATTACGGAGGTATCCACCATCAGAAAAGCTCTTTCCACACTCCAGGCATTCATACGGTTTTTCTCCTGAATGGATTCTTTGATGTCTATAAAGGCTGCTCTTCCGACTGAAGCTCTTTCCACACTCCAGGCATTTATATGGTTTTTCTCCTGTGTGAATCATTTGATGTCTACGGAGATGTCCATCCACGGTAAAGCTCTTTCCACACTCCAGGCATTCATATGGTTTTTCTCCAGTGTGGATCCTTTGATGTACATAAAGGTTTCCCTTCTGACTGAAGCTCTTTCCACACTCCAGGCATTTATGTGGTTTTTCTCCTGAGTGGATCCTTTGATGTAAATAAAGCTTGCGCCTGTGACTGAAACTCTTTCCACACTCCAGGCATTCATATGGTTTTTCTCCTGAATGGATTCTTTGATGTACATAAAGGTTGCTGCTCTGACTGAAGCTCTTTCCACACTCCAGGCATTTATACGGTTTTTCTCCTGTGTGGATCCTTTGATGACTATAAAGGCTGCTCCTGACAATAAAGCTTTTTGCACACTGAAGGCATTTATGTGGTTTTTCTCCTGTGTGGATCCTTTGATGTACATAAAGGTTGCTCCTCTGACTGAAACTCTTTCCACATTCAAGGCATTTATGTGGTTTTTCTCCTGTGTGGATTCTTAGATGGTTTTCTAGATTTCCTTTTATTTTGAAGGATTTTCCACATTCCGGGCACTGATATTTCTCTCCTCCCTCCTGGATTCTCTGGGGATTCCCGGGTCTTCCGCCTCTTCTGCAGGACCCTCCGCCCTCCAGGCCCGTCTCGGGGTCTCCGCCCGTTTCCTGCTCCCCGCTTCTCCCTCCGGGCGGCCTCCTTTCCCGGAGTCCCCTTTGGCTCATCCCTGCCGGGCCTTCCCCGCCGTCTCCTCCCGGGGCTGCTCCGCGGGACCTCCTCTCCTCTCCTTCCTTCCTTCCTCCGCCGGGCTCGCCCGTCCTCCTGCAGGGGCGAAGGGGGGGAGGAGAGGCGGGTCACGGCTTCGTCCCTTCCGCGGAGGGGAGTCCCAGGCCCGCCCGGGGAGGAAGGCCGGAGCCTCGGCCTCTCCGTGGGACTTTCCGGGCAGGCCTCCCTCCCAGCGCCCGTCCCGCCAGACCAGGCCTCGGCCTCCCCCCTCCCTCCGCCAGAGCGCCTCTCGGACTGCCACTCCCAGCATCCCTTGCGCCCCACCTGGATCCGAGCCCGTCCGCGGCAGAGTCAATATGGCGCCTCAGTTTCGTTTCATCCCGGAAGTGGAGGCGGGACTTCTCTGCGCGGCCTTTTCCTGGATGCTCTTCCTCCTTCGCCCCCAGGAGTCCTCCTGCCAATCGCCGCCCTCTCCAGAGCGACCAATCGGCGTCCTCCTTCGCTCCATGAGCCAGATGGTGCCTGCGCAGTAGCGAATGTTGTCTCCGTCCGGCGAGGGGGGGTGGTACGAGGGGCCCTTTGACCTTTGGGGTCCCGTCTTCCCCCCCGCCCCGCATCCAGGCAGGCGGAGCTGTTTCCTCCTTTAGGTGGTTCTATGTCGGTCCTTTTTGAACTTCAACTCCCAGAATTCCTGAGCCAGCATGGACAGTATTTGGCTGGCTCAGGATTTCTGGGAGTTGAAGTCCATAAGTCATAAAAGGGCCATTGTTATAATTTAGGCGATTGCCCAGTTCCTTCCTTCCTTTTCCCAGCTTTTCGCCTGAAGAATGCAACAGCCAGCTCAGTTGCGTTTGCTTCCGCCTGCTGCAAAGATGGCTCCCGGAACCACAATCACTTCCGCCCGGCACAAATATGGCGCCCTCCAGCACTTCCACTCAAAGGTCTCTTCCGCTGCGGCTGGGGACGATAAAGGTTGTGCCACTTGCATTGCCCCCCCCCCAAGCATCCCTCCAGCTCCGGACCCCATGACCCCAGCCCCTTCCTTGCACCTGTCCAGGAACTGGCAATGAGGGGCACTTTGAAGCAGCCCACTGCCGTCTTTACTGTTGGAGGCGCCACGGCCTTAACCAGCCCTTAAAGTACATCCGAGCAGCAACTCCACTACCTGCCAGCAGGGGGCAGCAAAGGACTGGTCTTGGTGCCATCTGCTGGCCTTCAGGAACCCTGCAATCCAGAGATGCTCGGCTCCGGATTTTCTTTGGAGGGCAGCTCTTCCTCCCAAGAAGGTTAGGCACTGGCTGGCCCTAGATTGGGCCTCAGAGGCTGAATGGCAAGAAAATTGCCAGTTTATAGTTCACGAACATCTTGTTTCCTTTCAGACAACACAACTCCCTCCATGGGATCTAGCACCCACATTCACACGTGCTAAGTGTGGCAGTGTTGAGAAGGGCTGGATTTCCGGGGCTTTGGCTGTCGTCCAAGTCCAGCCTTCCTTACTTCTTACTTGAGTTCCAGCTGGCCTCTCAGCTGCCCCTTTTCTGGGCAATCCTGGCTGCAGCTGAAACCCTTCCTGAAGGAGAATAAAGGTAGAACCTGTCCTCTCCTAAGAATACAGATCAGAGACCAAGAATTCTTCCGGCCGGTTCTGCTTTGCTCAACCTGCATCGTAAATAGTGTGCCCGGTTTGGGCCCTCAAATTCTGTGCAGGTGTCAGAATCCAAATTGTATTTTATTTCTAGATACCTGCTATGGAAAAACCCCATTTCTGCTCTCTCTGGATTCTGTCATACTACGAAGGGGAAGGGGGATGAGCTGGGGGGTTTTATGGCCCGCACTTCCTTCAGTAAACTACAAAAGGACTGGATGTTGATTCCCATCAAGAGGACTGACCATAACAATATGGTCATTGCCTTTCATCTACCCAGCTCTCTGAAGTCTTCCTTTTGCCGGCAGTGAGGGAAAAGGGGGGGGGGACAAGGCAACACCAGGAATCTGGGAAAAGAGGATGAGTGATCCTTGCCGGAAGAACCGTGGGGTGGTTGCTTGGGAACTCTTAAAGGATGGGAGAGAATTCCTCAGAGCCTGTCTAGAACGCCTGCAACCATCTTCTCTTAATAAAGTTGCCTGTTGGAAGAGACATTCCAAAAGTTCTGTCTTCTTAAGATGTAAAGTGGGGTGGGTCCTTACAGCAGGAGAGAGAATTAAAGAGCATTGACAGTTCCTTGCATAAATGCATTGGGTATAAATTTTGATTTATGACTAACATTCTTCAAAATAAAACAAAATGGCATAGACAAAATCACTGCATTTGGCCTTTGTAGATTTTAAACCTACATCTGAGAGAAATCTTGATGAACCTGGAGAATACAGTACAAAGGGATGTTGCTTCTTCTCATTCAGCGTTCGTATGAAATGTGCTAACAACCTGGTACCTGCTCATAAAAGTCTCCCAGGGCTTTAGACCTCCACCCTCTTCAAGTAGCACCTCTGCTCCACGACAGCTCATCTGACCGTCTCCTGCTTACATCTGTCTGAATCCATGAAGCCAGATACACTTCTGTTCCTCTATGCTGAGGATATGGCTAGTATCTCACATAACTTTGTTGGCCTTAGAGAGTCTCCTGTTTCTGCTAAAAAGCTTTAAAGGCAAGGAGACCAGTCGGAGCAGCCAATTTAGTTTGTTATCTGGGGATGGTCTTACATGGGGATGACATTTGGAAAACCCTTATAGATTATATGAAAGAATAACATCGTGGAGCTCTTACACAGCCACAACAATGAGGGCCAAATTAGCCCCCGATTCAGCCATGGCAAACCTGTTCCAATTAGGCACTGAGTGGGAAGATCATTTAAAGGCAATTTATTAGAGTATTGTAGCAAAGAGGTTTTCCGTACTGAAAAGAGGGATTCTAGGACATAGAATCGGGTTTCATTTTATACTCAAAGCACAGAAAAAATACAAGAGTTGACTGGATGGAAGAAATCATCCTGCTCAGTTACATCAGACATGGACAGTACGTTAAACATCCCATAATATTAAGCACGATCATTGAAATGAGCATTGTATTAAAACAGTGGTTCTCAACCTTCCTAATGCCGCGACCCTCTAATACAGTTCCTCATGTGGTGGTGACCTCCAACCATAAAATCATTTTCGTTACTACTTCATAACTGTAATTTTGCTCCTGTTATGAATCACAACGTAAATATCTGATATGCAGGGTGTATTTTCATTGTTACAAATTGAACATAATTAAAGCACTGATTAATCACAAAAACAATATGTAATTATATATTGTGAAATATTTATTTCTAATTACAAATAAATGAAATTTTGTCTTGAAGCCCGGGTGCCGAATCACACCTTTAGCTGCTCCACCTATGGCTCTGAAGGGAGACCTTACCTTTTCTCTTCTCCCCTTGCCCTACAACACACACACACACACATACACACAAACACATTTTCGGGGCTCCGGTGCCAACCCTGCCAGACCTGAGCAGAGGCCCTCAAGGAAACTGCCTACCTGGCTCACCACCCAGGTGGCTGTCGGATCCAAGGCGAAAAGGCTTGGAGGCAGCAGAAGGAGCCCTGCCACCAGCCTAAGCAACTCGCCAGTTGGATGTTTGGCAACTGGTATGCATTTATGATGCTTGCAGCATCCCAGGGTCACGTGATTGCCATTTACGACCTTCCCAGCCAGTTTCCAACAAGCAGAATCAACGGGGAAAGCCAGATTGGCTTAATGACACGATTCACTTAACAACTGCAGTGATTTACTTAATAACTATGGCAAAAAATCGAGTGCAATTCATTTAACCACCTTAGCAATGGAAATTCTGGTCTCAGTTGTCATAAGTTGAGGACTACATATACACGTATGCCTACAGTCAAATCTGTCTCTCTCTGGCTATTTTTATGTAAAGCAAGTTTATTTCACTAACAGGAAACATTACATTCTATTCCTAGTGATTATGTGGAGAGATGCTTGCCATTCCGAGCATTAAAACATTTAAAGATGCTCTGGTTCCTTTGGAATAGGCTCCATGGGCTCTTAAAATGGCTGGTCTTCAGTCTCCCTTTCATTAGAACAGGAAACACTGTTTTTTCCTGAAGGCCCCTAACCTCAGGTATAATATATTACAGCCGAACGATAGGTAGGAGAGAAGCAAAGGAACAGTGGGATCAGAGGCAAAAACAAATCTTTTTTGGATTGTGGACTGGGATTTAGAAATTAGGATGAAAGTTTCCCATTTCCCATCCTCATGTTAGCAAAACTAGGGCATACATATATCTTTCAAGAGTATTTCAGGTTGCAGGGAGCAAGGGTAAGAGTGACTTTAATTTCTCTTGTGCATCAGTTCACCTTTAATAGATGTTCCTGTGGTGGTTTAGCTGTTGGTATCCATCCTTAGTCCTAGAGAAATTAAGAAAATTAAGGAATTCTCTTAATCCTGGAATTCCCATTAAAGTCTTCACGTGTCTTCTCCAAAGTGAGTCTCAAGTCATGTTTAGCAGAGACAATACAACGCTTTTTCCATAATTTAGCTAAATCATGTCCATAGGGCAAAACTTGCAGATGATAGAAGCCTGTTATCACATGAGCCAGCCAAGGAGCTACGCCAGATCCTAACTCCCCCATGCCTTGCCTGCCTGGAAAACAAGAGCGTTTTCTGGAGTTGAACAAGCAAAAAAATAAACCAGCCGCAGCAGGAAAGCTCACCCACATAGCCTGGAATTAAGGAAACTGGGTTGGGGAGGCTTCAGAGCCTTTTGCCGAGCCTTGCTTCAGAAAGCAGGTGAAGTCGCTATCGAGAACACGACGCTGCCTCCTGGAAGCACAAACCTTTTTGCAGAGCTCGGTGGCCGAGGAGTCGGCAAGCACACACACGCGCTCTTTCTCTCTCCTCTCTCACATATACACACACATACGCCTGCAGGAGAAGGGGGGGTCCGTGGAGATCGGCCCCTTTCTAGTTATTCTTGCTCATTTGGGAGAGACAATAAGAGGGTAGCCAAGACAAACGTATAGTGTTAGAATAAAATATAGATGATAGACAAAGGTATATTTAAAAGATAAATAAATATACAGAAATAAGGGAAAAAGTCTTCATATTATATTATAAATAGCAAGCAAAGCTCAAGAACTTTATGTCTACATGAGTGCTAATATTGCTGTAAAGTGTCGGAAGATGTATGGAACCAATGACATCATATCTATGTCCAATGTGTTTTAATTTTGTATTATTAATTTTTTTTTTTAAAAAAAAATTGCAATGCCTGGCAACTGACTCTATTTATGATGGTCGCAGTGCCTGGGGAGGGTCACGTGATCGGCTTTTGTGATCTTCTGACGAGGAAAGTCAATGGGGAAGCCAGGGTCACTTAACAACTGTGTTACCGACTTAACGACTGCAGGGATTCACTTAGCAACAGTGGCAAGAAAGGTCGTAAAATGGGGCAAAATTCACTTAACAAATGTCTAATTTTGCAACAGAAGTTGACCATTGGTCGATCATGTGACCCTGCCTCCTACATCCATGCCAGTTGCCAAGTGCCTGAAATTTTGATTGTGATCTGTGAGGATGTTGTGATGGTCATAGCTGTAAGGACTGGCTAGAAGTCCCTTTTTTCTCAGTCGAGCATTACCTGCGGCAGGTAAAACAAACCTGGCACGCTTTGGTACGCTGGCTCACTACCCCAATGGCCACCCAGAAGTACCCCCAAGCCCAGCCCCAAGTCCAAGCCCAGTCCAGCGGCAGCCAATGTGATGCTGAAAGGTTGTTTTGAGAACCTCTGAGGTGCCGGGAGATAGCAGTTCACCCTGAGGAAATGACGGCCTTGAAGTCTGGCAAAAACCGACTGGGAGAGAGTCCGCTCTGTCTCCACCAATATCTCCCTGCCTAAATTACCAAGCAGTTACAGCAAAGGAAAAAGCAAGCAAAAATTCCAGATAGCCTCCCCCCTCTTCCCAAGAAGGGCAGGACACGATGGTGGACCTGAGGGGGTTTGTGCATTCAGTAATAGTGAAGGTCCCATCTAGATGTAAAAGAGCCTTGACGTTAATTCTGTGTCATTCTGAAGAAAGGCTTAAACTTTTTGGCCTCTTTCCTTAATCTGTGATCCTACTTGAGATGCAAACAGCCAATCCAGAGCTGGAGTAACCTTCAGAAAGATTGGGGTACAATATTTTATTATTGTAATTGGGGTAAATACAGTAACCCCACCCCAGTGCAAAGATTAACCTTTTCCTTGCCTATCTGGGGAGCTCATATCAATGATCACAGTTTACTTATTTTATTTGATCTGGCACATTGATATAATATCCTTATGATTTAACGCCTCCAAAAGGTTGTGGGAGGAGAATGCATTTTTTCTTCCAGCAAATTAATCCTTTTGATAGTTTTGCCATCTGAATTCGACCTCCTGCAGACCTCCTGTTTTATGTATCGCCAAGGGGACAAAAGGGTGAGGTGAAGAAATGTGCATCTGAGCAAAAATAAAGTGATTTATAGTCTTGCATCTGGCATTAGGAAGTGAGCACAATAGGTTAGACTTTACATCAGGACATTGCAATGTTTAATTATTTGCTTCTGGGCCTGCCCTTGGAAACAGCCTCACCCCAAGATCCCCATGAGGGGAAATGGCAGCCTTTGAACCCATCTCAGAAAGTATCCCAGAACCCACCCATTGTTGACACTTGGCTGATGCCTCCTGGAAGACTTCCTTCTCAAATCCTCAGTCCTTGACGCTTCCTTTTTTTCCTCTTTCCCTCTTAAAGCGACCTTCACCAGGTGGGGCTTGGGCTACTTCCTGTTCCTGCCTGATTCATGGAAAATCAGCTGCTTCCTTTGATCAGGCAGCTTGGAAGACACCAGAGCTGTGAATTTGGAAGCTTGGTCAGGTCAGCCAGGCTGTTGCTCGGAAGCTGCAGAGCAGGTGGGTGGAACTGGTTTCCTGGGGAAAGAAGGAACTTTCAGCGTTGAGGCATTTATAGGGTTTCTCCTGTGTGAATTCTTTGATGTTTACAGAGACCTCCACTTTCAGTAAAGCTCTTTCCACACTGGAGGCATTTATATGGTTTCTCTCCTGAATGGATTCTTTGATGTACATAAAGGCTGGACCTCCGATCAAAGCTCTTTCCACATTCCAGACATTTATAAGATTTTTTCTCCTGAGTGGATCCTTTGAAGTTTCCATCAACAATAAACCTTTTTCAACACTCCAGGTATTTATACAGTCTCTCTCCTGAGTGGATCCTTTGATGTACATAAAGGTTGCTGCTCTGACTGAAACTCTTTCCACACTCCAGGCATTTATGCGGTTTTTCTCCTGTGTGGATCCTTTGATGTACATAAAGGTTGCTGCTCTGACTGAAACTCTTTCCGCACTCCAGGCATTTATGCAGTTTTTCTCCTGTGTGGATCCTTTGATGTACATAAAGGTTGCTCCTATGTCTGAAGCTCTTTCCACACTCCAGGCATTTAAGAGGTTTTTCTCCTGTGTGGATCCTTTGATGTACATAAAGGGTGTTCCTCCGATTGAAACTCTTTCCACACTCCAGGCATTTATGCGGTTTTTCTCCTGTGTGGATCCTTTGATGTACATAAAGGCTGCTATGTCTGAAGCTCTTTCCACACTCCAGGCATTTATACAGTTTTTCTCCTGTGTGGATCCTTTGATGTACATAAAGGGTGTTCCTCTGATTGAAACTCTTTCCACACTCCAGGCATTTATGTGGTTTTTCTCCTGTGTGGATCCTTTGATGTACATAAAGGCTGCTCCTATGTCTGAAGCTCTTTCCACACTCCAGGCATTTAAGAGGTTTTTCTCCTGTGTGGATCCTCTGATGTACATAAAGGTTGCTCCTATGTCTGAAGCTCTTTCCACACTCCAGGCATTTATACAGTTTTTCTCCTGTGTGGATCCTTTGATGTACATAAAGGGTGTTCCTCCGATTGAAACTCTTTCCACACTCCAGGCATTTATGCAGTTTTTCTCCTGTATGGATCCTTTGATGTACATAAATGCTGCTCGTCTGACTGAAGCTCTTTCCACATTCCAAGCATTTATGTGGTTTCTCTCCAGTGTGGATTCTTAGATGCCTTTCAAGATGTTCACCCACAGTAAAGCTCTTTCCGCATTCCAGGCATTCAAATGGTTTCTCTCCTGAATGGATTCTTTGATGTACATAAAGGTTGCTCCTCTGACTGAAGCTCTTTCCGCACTCCGGGCATTTATACGGTTTCTCTCCAGTGTGAATTCTTTGATGTCTATAAAGGCTTCCCCTCTGACTGAAGCTCTTTCCGCACTCCAGGCATTTATGCAGCTTTTCTCCTGTGTGGATCCTTTGATGTTTATAAAGGTTTCCCCTCAGGCTGAAGCTCTTTCCACACTCCAGGCATTTATGTGGTTTTTCTCCAGTGTGGATTCTTAGATGCTTTTTAAGATCTCCATTTGCTTTGAAGCATTTTCCACATTCCGGGCATTCATATTTCTTTCCTCCCTCCAGGATTATGTGGTGTTTCCAAAGTCTTCCGCCTGTCTCGAAGGACCCTCCGCCCTCCTGGCCCGTCTCGGGGTCTCCGCCCGTTTCCTGCTCCCCGCTTCTCCCTCCGGGCGGCCTCCTTTCCCGGAGTCCCCCACGGCTCATCCCTGCCGGGCCTTCCCCGCCGTCTCCTCCCGGGGCTGCTCCGCGGGGCCTCCTCTCCTCTCGGGCGGCGCCTCCTTCCTTCCTTCCTTCCTTCCTTCCTTCCTTCCTCCGCCGGGCTCGCCCGTCCTCCTGCAGGGGCGAAGGGGGGGAGCAGAGGCGGGTCACGGCTTCGTCCCTTCCCCGGAGGGGAGTCCCAGGCCCGCCCGGGGAGGAAGGCCGAAGCCTCGGCCTCTCCGTGGGACTTTCCGGGCAGGCCTCCCTCCCAGCGCCCGTCCCGCCAGACCAGGCCTCGGCCTCCCCCCTCCCCCTCCCTCCGCCAGAGCGCCTCTCGGACTGCCACTCCCAGCATCCCTTGCGCCCCACCTGGATCCGAGCCCGTCCGCGGCAGAGTCAATATGGCGCCTCAGTTTCGTTTCATCCCGGAAGTGGAGGCAGGACTTCCCTGCGCGGCCTGCCCGTGGATGAATCAATTAGGGCGCCTCAGTTCTATTCCTTCACGGAAGTGGAGGCGGGACTTCGCTGCGAGGCCTTTTCCTGGATGGTCTTCCTCTTTCGCTCGAAGGGACCGCCCCCAGGAGTCCTCTTGCCAATCGCCGCCCTCGCCAGAGCGACCAATCGGCGTCCTCCTTCGCTCCATGAGCCAGATGGCGCCTGCGCAGTAGTGAATGTTTCTCTGTCCGGTGACGGGGTGGGACGAGGGGACCTTTGACCTTTGGCAGGCGGAGGTGATGGACTTCCGGGGCTGCGTCGCCGCCCCTCCCTCCCCCCCCCCGATCCTGGGGTCTCTTCCCCCCTCCCCCTTCCGGGGGCTCCGGCCAGGCTCCCCCCGCGGCCCCCAGGCAGCCCCTCCCGCCTCTCAGGGCCGATCCCTGCCCCCCCCGCTCCTCTGCGCCCCCCCCGGAGCCCCTCCTCGCACGGGGGGGGGAAAGGGGGGCGAGGGGGTCCCAGGCCGGGCTGGATTGGGAGGATTTCTGTTCCCGTCTTTCCTGTTTGGAAAGGATTCTCCCCCCCCCGTTCTGCCCAGCCAGAGAGGAAGGGGGAGGGGGGAGGGGGGAGACCCTTCCCAGCCTCCCTCGGGGGGCTTCGGACTGGGGGAGGTTGGGGGAGCCCTGTAACCTCCAAGGCTGCCCCCCCCTTTGAGGCCTTGCCTTGAGAGGAGGGTCCCTCCAACCTCCCCCCCCCCCGAGGGTGGCAGGGGTGCCTCTTCCATCGCAGGCCGGAGAGATGGAGGCTTCTGCGCAGGATCGGGGCCCTTCCTGGGGAGAGGGAGCTGGGAGTCGGTTCCTGGGGTCCCCTGGAGCCCCTCGGCCAGCTTGGGACCCCCAGCCCTGAGTGATGGGACTGGGACTACTTCCACACACAGTAAAATCCATCTTTTACTTTTGCAATATTTTTATGCCTTTTCACACACCTAACTCCACCCTCCCGTCTTTGAGCCTAATAAAGGTTTGATTAGAAAGCAGTTGAGTATTTCCAGGGCAGGAGATTCTTCAGTGGGGTGAGATGCTCAGTTTGGATTCAGCAGTTCCCCCATTTATCTCCCGAGTTTGCAAGACTTTAGCAGACCGAATATAACTTTAGGGTGATCCAAAAATACAAACGGTGTCATTTTCTGTCCTTGAAAAGCCAGACCGTGTCCACGAGGGGGAAGTTTGGGGACTGAGTGGAAATACTGGCTGGGAACAGTTATGACCGTTGAACAGTTTTTCTACCCAATTGGGCTAGTTTTGGAGATTAGTTGCAGGACAATTTTGACCTCGGTGGTTTCCAGTTTGGGGGCTATTATGGGCTATTTTTAAAGGGCTGTAGAGAGTCCTTGACTTGCAACCATTTGTTTAGTGGTTGAAGTTACAACAGCTCTGAAAAAAGTGACATATGATCACTTTGCAGAATCCTGAGCATTGTAGATCCCCATGGTCATGCAATCAAAATTCAGGCAACTAGTGTGGATTCCTGACAGTCACACAGTACCAGGCTCACGTGTTCACCCTCATAACCTCCTCAGCTAGCGTCAGACAAGCAAAGTCAGCAGACGAAGCCACATTCACTTAACAATGGTGTGATTCACTTACCAGCTGCACTAATTGGCTTAAAAACTGGGGGAGATGACCTGAAAACTAGCAAAAAAGGTAGTAAAATGGATTGAAACTCACTTAACAACGGCCGGCAACATAAACCTTTGGCTCAATTCTGGTCATAGGTGTACAGTTTGGGGTCAATATATCAATCTATCAATCTGTCACGAACGATAACTGCAAAATATATTATTGGTAGCAAACAGGGTTGAGTCAGTCAGCCCCCTCCCCTCTAGCTGCATCACCAGCCCCTCCCTCCCCAGATCCAGCATCTCCTCTCTCCCCCCTTCTCTCCCAAGGCCCCCTTTGCAAAACTGCAGCTGAGGGGGAGAATCCCCTGCAACGCATCTCCCCTTAATACTTGGATTTTTCAACCTGAGACATAGCCCTCCAACCCTGTCTCATTTCCTCTTCTTCCTGCAGCTGACTGGCAAAACAATGCACCTGCTTATCTGCCAGCATATTTTCAAGTTAACTCTCCCCCCCTTCACTTACCTGTCCACTTCCATGGGCATTTGTAACCTGCTGAGACTTTGGGAAAAGTGCAAAAAAGAGCAACTAAGATGTTAAAGTATGAAGAACTGTTGCAGGATTTGGGTTTGGCCAGTCTAGACAAAAGAAGGACTAGGGGTGATATGATAGCTGTATTCCAGTATTTTAGAGACTGCCACAAAGAGGAGGGGGTCAGTTTATTTTCCCAAGATACAACAAGATGACAATGAGGTGCTTATTCAAGATGACAATGAGGTGCTTACCCCAAGGAGGTTGAGGGTTTGAAGAACTGGTGTAAGAAAAACAGCCCAATTTTAACCACTGGAAAAAACAAAGAGATCATTGTCGATTTCAGAAAAGGCAGGCACAGCCACACTTCTCTGTGCATTAATGATCACCTGTGAAGATGGTTACCAGCATCAAATTCCTGGGTGTGCAGCTAACGAGTAGACTAGCCTGGTCGCTCAACAGTGAGACCCTGGTGAAGCGGGCACAGAAGCGCCTGAATTTTCTGCATCGCATGAGAAAAGCACATCTCCCTTCCCCTGTCCTGACCACTTTCTACAGGGGGACGATTGAGAGCAGCCTGTCATACAGCATCACAGTCTGGTTTGGAAGCATCACTGCTTCAGACAGGAAGGTGGTGTAGAGAGTGGTGAGGACGCAGAAAAGATTATTGGCAGTTCCCTCCCTTCCATCCAAGACAAGGCATGTAAGCGTGGCTTGACCAGGGTCCATAAAATTGTCTGGGACGCCACATGTCCTCTCCACAACTGTTTTCCTTGTTACCTTCTGGGAGGAGTGGGCTTTGTGGTGTCCAAAGTGGAACATCCAGATTCAGTCACTTGGTGTTTTGTTTTCAACTTACCAAGAAAGCTTTTTATGTAGCTTCATCATCTACTTCAATTTTTTTTTCTTTTTGGAATTGTTTGAAGGTCTGAATCTTCAATTATTTCAGATTTTCCCAATCCCCCCTGACCCCTTTTTTCCCATCTGGATTTCCATCCGCAAATCCTTCCTAATTTTTCCCTCAGTTCAGTAGTCGAACAGTTGAATTACCCAAGAGTGACAGTCAACAGAGTCTCCTGGTCCAGAAATGATCACAAATGGTGCACAATTTGAATCAGTGTGAAAGCCTTTCCTGGCTTTGGCCTCCTCCTGCTCTTCCAATAGGAGCTGGGAATCAAGGGGGGGGGGGCTTCTCTCCTGCTCTTTGGCAGAGAACTTATGGTTCTTATGGATTCTTATGGTTAGCTCTTTTGGCGATGCACACAACCAGTTCCTTTGAAGTGTACCGAAGGAAGTGAAGGCCATAAAGCCCCTTTGTTCACCCCCTTCCATAGAAGGCAGAAATGGGTTTTTTTATAATTGATAACTAGAGATGAAATATAATTGGATTCTGACACACGCCCACACTCAGAAGGCTCTCCGACTCCCAGCGCCACAGGATCTGAGGAAAACTCCAGCAAAATCCCAATTAGAAATGTCAGGAATTCCAAGTACAAGTGACTGACCAGCAGGGAGACGAATAGATGTCTGCCACACCTATTCCTCTCTGCCCTTGCCTTTTACCCACAGCTGAAGGTGGTGCTCCGTTAGCAGTGGTGACTCTTCCAGCCCATAGCCTCTCGCTGTTCTCCTCTCCTCAGTCTATGCCACACCTGCGCATCGATCACTGGTCCTGTGGGATCCTCCTCTCCTGACTCACTTGCCTCAAGGCATGGAGGTCTCAGCCTTTCCATCTGGGGGCTAGCAGACGGCCCAGGCTGCGCCTCTGTCCCTGGCTGCGACATTCTTTCGTCGGAGTGTTCAGATGGCCCTGACGCTGGGCCTGATGCCAACTCCTGTGGTTCCTCTGGTGGCTGAGAAGCCACAACAGTTATCCATCTGGGTTAACAAGATGAAATATAAAGACTCAGGGAGGCCGATGAGATTTTTGGAAATGGGTACTCACCTTTCTCATCCTGAGGTTTTGTGGTTGGTTGGATAATGGCTGCTGTTGTGTCCTCTTGGCTGGCAAGCTGTCTCAAATTTTGTGTGCTCAGTTATGTCATTTCAGTTAATTTTGTCCTGACCCCACCAGCTTCTGTTCGGAGCATCATCTCCAGCAAGCCAGCCAGGGCCAAGGGCTTGACCCTCCTTCAGCTTGGAGTCTGCCCCTTCCTGCACCAACATGGAGGGTTGGACTAGATGACCTACCACAGGGGTGTCAAACTGCCGGCCCGCGGGCTGGACGCGTCCTGAGGAAACCACGCCCGCCCCATTGCCGGCAATAGGGAAAAAGTTCCGATACGTCGTGCGACCTCACGTGACATCGCGAGTTTGACATGTCTGACCTACAAAGTCCCTTCCAACTGTTAACGCTTGAGCCTCCTTTGCTTGGGTGCCTGGCGCTGGCTGCCTTTTTTGCCAGACATCTCTGCTTCTTGCAGGGTCTCTTCTGGCCACTTGATGTCAGCCCTTTCACATCCAAACAGTCTGGTACTCCCAGCATGATCTTGCCTAGTCCTCTGAGAAGGAAGGTGAGCTGGTAGCCAAGGACTGTGATGCATTGGCTTGAAGAGCAGCCATCCCAGAAGGAGGGATCAAACAGAATTAGCCTGGACTCCTTATGTAAACCCAAGGGGGCAAGATCTGACCTCTGGACTAGAAGACCTCCAAGGTCCCTTCCAGCTCTGGTCTGATTGATTGATTGATTGATTGACCCCCCCTTTGAATGCCTTTGAGCCGTATCTTAGCATTTCATGGGTGAAAGCTGCTACTCTGGGGAGATTCGTGTGGAATGAGCATAGAACAATAAAGTAGCTAGTTTCACTCTACACTCATGGGTCTGGTCTCTCAGAGCTGAAAGAGGAAACTAATTCGCTGGCTCTGAGTAGCCCTGCCCCAATCCCCCATGGCCCACCAAGATTTTCTGTGGAAGAGGTCATCACTCACTGGGCAAGGGGTCAAAGGGTCTCTGCTAAAGAAGGGCGAAGTCTATGCTGGTTTTCACATTCCGGCAGCACCAAAATCCAGCTGGGCTCTGGGTCACATGATCAGGAGAGA